TGAAGGGATTCTCAGGAGGAAAGATGAAACAGGTGCATGAGTGAATAGTTGTAGCAGAATTTCAAAGATGCCTAACTCTAGGTATGTGCAGGTATTATCAGGGCACTGGGAAGCAAGGAGCAATTATTCTCTAGAAGAGTCACAGGAACTGCACAAAGGAGGTAAACCCTGAGTAGAATCTTGTGAGATGAGCCTGAGTCTCAAGCAAAGAAGACAGTCAAGGGCATCGTAGGAAAGTAAGAATAAACTTAAATGCAGGGAGAGTGTGGTATATCTAGAAAGGATGAATTTAGCAGTGGAGCTGCAGGGAAAAATTAGTAATTTGGGAATCAAGCGTGCTGAGATGAGAAGGTAAATTAGAAAAGGAATACAAGAACTGTTACATATTATGCTGAAGAACTTAGCTATTATCCCGGAAGCCAAGGTTTCACAAACATAGTAATTTAAGTATCATTTCCACAACATATATTGTATCCCAAGTCTACCTCTGTTAGTTTTGCTTTATCTGTATTGCACCTGTACTGTGTTTATTTTTCTAAAACACCTGACTTTTAAACATATTCATTTTTAAAAGAAACTTCATGTCACTCTGGTTATAAATAGAAAACCATGGTCACTTGCAGTGAATTCAAGGTCATCATTAAAATGAATGTGATAAATTGAACATAAAACATGCCTTTAATTATTTGCTTATGAACATCGCTGAGCCTGAGGCCTGCAGTCTCATTTTTCAAATAAGGGAATTATAACTTTTTGAAAGATGTAAAATTCATTCTAGCACCAAAGTGAGTCTCCTTGAATTAATTAGTAAGAAGAAAGAGAATTTGGAAGGCAAATAGCATTCTCGCTCTGTAAATCAGGGGTATTTAGAATGATTCCTGTGCGCCCTTTAGATACTGCAGAGTACATACCCACATATGGGGAAATATTGTTTAGTACAGGGCTACCTGAAATATTTGAGCGGATTCTGGGTGACAAAGTCAGACTTACTGAAGAAGGATAACTCAGGACTGAAAAAAAGAGAGCAGGGGAAGCCAGGAAAACCTTGCAGAGACTGTGGGGGAGGATCCCAATGTGGTCCAGTCCATTTAGCGATGCTGAAGAAGAGGGCCCAGATTTCAGAGGGATTGAGGATAATCACAATAAAGATGCAGCACGACTTGGTACCTGAAGGATGAAGGGCCGGGGTCAAGGAAAAAGAAGGGTCAAGGATGCATTGGAGATAGATTGCTTGGGAGACTGCATAAGTGTTCATGTCACCATGTAGGTCACTATCACAAGAAATATGTTTTGGGAAGAGGAGCAACATCTGGATGTATTGGAGGAAGAGGGGAAGGAGAAGGAGTGGGCAAGGGTGGAGAAAGATGGGGCACTTGGATCAGAACAGGTCACCTATCAGGAATCCTTGCACATTCTAAGACTGCATAACATGTTTGTTCAATCAATAGATGGGTATAGAGAGTCAGCAGGCAAATACTTTGCTAAAGCTCAGTGGCATTCCAAGTGCCAGCTAGATCCGAAGAGGTAATTGTGGCCTATGTATCAGCACCAAATACACATCTGTTTGCTTACTGACCATTTTAGAGAATCTGTGGTGTAATCAGGTAGACAGGTTTAAGGCTTATTAGGCACGTTTACTCCTGGTAAGATGTTAAAAATGAGCCTATTCAACCAAAAAGTCATTATGAATCTACTTATGTAAAGCAATTTTCCGAGTTCTTGAAGGGATAGAGAGACAAATTAGACACAGACTCTGCTGTCACAGAACTTGTATGAATCTAAAATAGATAAAATTTGGGGGGATTTAAATTTCACTAATGTAAAAAATTTATTCATGATTTCCAGAAAGCAAATTTATTCTCAAAATTTTACTGGGAACCAAAGTAAGTCTAAACTTTGTTTCCATATATGATAAGAAATTTACTATTTTATTACAATAAAATAAAAGTATGAGTGAAATTTTTGATAGATTTAAACAATTGCAAACGAAAAATCTTACTAGTCATTAATAGCCCCTCTTCTGTGTTGTTCGTAAAATACCTGATTACATAGCTTAGCAGCAATAAAGGAATTGAATTTTGTCTTTTGTATATAGCATCAAGTTGCCCTTCCTCCCATTCAGGTATATAATATAGCAATACATTGGAGCCTTTTAATGAAAACCTGTGAAATATCCGTTTTTTGTTACTGGGATTCCTTTTCTTGGCAATCAAGACATAGATGAGAAAACACAGATCTCACTCACAGCCTCAAAAAGAGTCATAGGTTTGAGGAAGGAGAGGGACAACAAGCCAAAATGGTGACGCTCCATCTTCAGTTTCTGGACTCTTCTGTGAAAAGACGTGTTTTCGTAAGAACCAGACAGAATTCATTTCCATAGAGCATTTTTAATGGCTCCTGTCAGAACAAAACAGCTGGGAAACATATGGTATCCATTTTCCTGTATCACTTGGAAAAAATTTCACATGTAAATAAAGCCAACATAAAAGAGTAGCCCTTTGAACCTACGACCTCATATAATACATAAATATATTGGTACAATGCATTCTTTGTATTGACCTACTAAGTTACGTGGCTTTAAAATTTTTTATTACATTCTGAGATGCCCATTTTCTAGAGGTTCCAAAGAAATCAAGGTAATCGGCAAAATATTAGCAAATATACCCAATAATAACAGTGTATCTCAGAAATGTCTATGAGTAAAATTTTTTCCCATTTTATTTAAAGATATGCAGAAAGTTGATGAATAAAATTAAAGGCATATTTACATCTTATAAACTCTATGTCCACTATCTCCTGCTGTTTTAATTAAATAAGTAACCATGTGTTCTTGAAAAGAGAAAGACTTGGCAGAATTTTCTGGCAGACATTAATTTTTCATGGCTTTATATTTTTAGAGAGAAAAGGTCATGTAAGAGATAGAAAACTTTTAAATTTATAAGAGACCAACTGGAATTAGTCTTTGCCTTTGCATATTTACATTTCATAAATAACTTTAGCAAATTGGGCTCTTACTGGTGATTATCACTCTGCTGAGTTTATTAACAGGGTTTTGTCCCCTGTGAAATTCAACTGTAAATCCCGCAGAAGGATGCACTTTGTGCATTTTAGAAGATTTAACGTGTTGTGCAAAGTGAGATTCAAATTCACATACTGGCACTTGTTAATTGTCTGATCTGTGCCAACCACTGTGTACAACTAGGAACTAGAGCCAACAAAAGGGAAGAAAAGCAACAGCCTAAGACCATCTAGATACCTTCCTTCCCCTCTGGAACATTCTCTTCCACATTACTTATTGGAGAGACTCCAGCCCTCCTTCCACAGCTTATCATAGTATTCTCTTCTTAGATTCTAAAATGCCAGGGCCAGAAAGGTCTGAGAAGTGGACTACGTAGTGCAGACCCTCTGAAACCTCATGCAAAATTGTGGTTGATTTAAGGAAAAGAACTCACTGATAGTTATATAGCATTCAGGCTCAGAGCACTCACTGTCATCCCCTGAGCTTGGTTCCAGAACTTCTCTGAATCCTTTTAGAACATATCCCAGCAGGAAAAAGAATGGCCAGTAGCTTAAATTTAGAGAACTTTAATGATGTATGTTCCACTTTCACCCCAAGAATCAGTCAAAGCCAGGGGCTATTGCAGAAGTTACAGACATGAGTATCCACCCATCTCATGTTCTTTTTTCCTTTGGTTGTGCCCGGTAGTGAAGAACACACACATACACATGCTTTTGGGATAAATCCTTCCCACTTGTTTTTCAGAAGAGAAGGGGTAGATGGAAGGTCCCTAGTTGAAGGGCATGCCCTGAAATCTCATCCTTTGATGAAGGATGATAGGAACTACATGGCAGGGAACTAGGAACCCATCAGTCAGTGGCCTGCACATTTCCAAGGGTGTGGGGTCATCTTTAACCTAGCAGGGGAGTGTCCCAGGGAGGAAACAGCATCATCATGGCTGAGGAGACTGTTGCTGCTCCATCTGCTTGCCCCAAGAGGAGGCACCAGGCAGCCTCTCATGCAGGGGTTAGTAGGAGAGATGGTTCTTCTTATCTTTCACCTCCAGGTGTTTCTGGCTATTTCACTTTCTACTCTATCGCAACCAGACACTTATCAAATGCAAACCAACACACTATCTTTTTCTAAATTTTGCACAGAAATTAGAAAACACTCTGCCTAACCCATTTTCTTTTCACAACTTTCTTCTCCTGTTTACTTCCAGCCTTCTCAACAATAAAAGGCAGTATGAATCTTAAAGAACATGTTCTGTTGTGAAGTCTTAGTACATTCTGTCACTGTGTCATATGTCAGAAAGCACCATGAAATGCTGCTGCATGACAGTTGACTAGGATCCTTTGACCAAGGTGGGCTTAACTCAACTATGTCTTGTCTGCCACAGTCTGTCAACTCCTGACCACTGCATTTCTTCCTAATCTTTCCATAATCCTCTTAGTGGTACACCTAAGGAGTCACTCAGGAGGTCATAGTTTGAATTTACTCAGTATTAAATAATTTGCCACTTCTTTACATGGAACTTCTTAAGCATTAAGGGTATATGTGGACATGCATGCTAATGTGTGTGCATGTGTGCACACATCCCTTTTCTCCCTAAATTAGTTTGGAAGTTTATTTAACACTGAAGATCTTATTTGGTAATCTTGTTTTTCAGGATGGTGACAAATATATAAATATTGCCAGGGAGGTAGATCTATGCAGGGAATAAACCTAAATACCTATCTGGGTTTGCTTCCCTGGCTGTTTGCTTTTACCATTATTACTACTTTAATTAATTTTGAGCCAGTATGTTATAACTTTCTTTTATCATTCACTGTTTTCCAGTGGTAAGTATGAATTTTTTATTCTATGGACATGCACTCTAAGTCATTCTCATATACAGAGCCTTAATTTGAACATAACTTGAATGAATCACATCTACCTAAATAGCCAAGATGTGTTCAGTATTCCAAATTAATAGTCTCCTATTTTAATTTTTAAAAAACAGTTTCTAGCTCTAGCTGGAATTGCGGCATCTCAACTCTTATTACAAACACACAGAAGCCCACAGGAATCGCTGATGTGTACAGTAAGTTCCGCCCAGTGAAGCGTGTTTCACCACTGAAACATCAGCCAGAGACTCTGGAAAACAATGAAAGTGATGACCAAAAGAACCAGAAAGTGGTTGAGTACCAGAAAGGGGGTGAGTCTGACCTGGGCCACCAGCCCGAGGATCTCAGCCCTGGAGATGGACTGGGCGGCCCACCAGGTAAGAACTCTGAGCCCAGCACACCACTGGGTGAACTGGAGCACTATGACCTTGACATGGATGAGATTCTGGATGTGCCTTATATTAAATCCAGTCAGCAGCTTGCCTCTTTTACCAAGGTAACTTCAGAAAAAAGAATTTTGGGCTTATGCACAAGCATCAATGGCCTTTCTGGCAAAGTCTGCTCTACAGGAAGTTCTGAGAACTCACCATCCAACATGGCACCATTTTGTGTTCTTTCTCCCTTGAAAAGCCCTCACTTGAGAAAAGCATCAGCTGTCATCCGCGATCAGCACAAGCTGTCCACTGAAGAACCCGAGATCTCACCTCCTCTGGTTAAATGTGGCTCTGCATATGAAAACCAGAGTAAAGACTTCCTAAACAAGACATTTAGTGATTCTCATGGTCGAAAAGTTGAGAAGACAACACCAGACTGCCAGCTCAGGGCCTTCCACTTGCAATCCTCAGCAGCAGAATCCAAACAAGAAGAGCAGGTCAGTAGCATGAACTGGCCCAGCTCCCAAAGCCCAGAAGAAAGAAGTGAGTATCTGAAAAAAGTAAAAAGCATCTTGAGCATTGTTAAAGAAGGACAGATCTCTCTACTGGTAAGTATAATCTAGTTCAGTATACATGTCAATAGACTAGAGACTCGTTTTTTATCAGCTGCATTCATTAGTAACAGAATGATGCTGCATTTATTTTGGTTTTGACTTAATCCTTACTTGTGGCTTTAGTTGGGAGATGTGACCTTCTGAGTTTTAAAATAAGAAGTTATGAGGTTAATACAGGGAAAACAAATGTCTATAGAGTGAATGTTACTTCATTTTAACTTTGCATGAATTCAACTGAAAAGACTCTTAATCTCAAACAAAGAGAGCCCAGCACTTTCTTTAACTTGATTCTTAAGTCTTTCTTTTTGCTTTTCAAATGGTTCCCAATGCTCTCACACAGTTATTTGTGGGGATGTCAGTTCTTTGCTGATGGTGGACCTGCCAGATATGTGAACAGAGGGTCTTCTGTTTTGTCCTGATCATTATTCAGAAAAGTTGGACCAGGTTGTTTGAAAAGAATTTGCAGATAGAAGCTTACCCAAGAGCTTCATTGCCCTCTGACCCAGGTGGAGTTTTTACTTACTGCCAGCTCTGCATGTCTAGGGAGCATGAAGAAGCTTTTCCAAAGACTCTAGACACAGAGTAAAATGATGTAAGAAAAGTCTGTTCTGCTTAGGCTCAGAGAGAGCTAAACTGAAATAGCACTCCATCTGTCTACATTGTTCTTTTCTGCCTTCCAGACTCGGATCAAACAGTAGCAAGCCTGAGCTCATACTATGATACTAATTAAAGTCTCATTCAAGAAAATCATCACATCTTGGCAATGTGATTCTACTTAGGGTAAAGCCATGCATAGATAAGTACAGTGTACTTGCTCTATTATCACAAATGCTGTTGTGATAGGGTGGTAGAATTGAATAATTTTATGAAATAAAATAAAGTAGTACTTTTTTTCTCTCCTGAAAATGTCTTTTCCATTTTCCTGGCTCTTCCCCCTAATTCTCTTTGGTTCATTTTTTTCTTTTGTCCTTCTCATGTTTTCGTGTTTCCCAAATGCTAACAACACCTCTCAGTTCACCCAACAATTTCTATCAACTAGTTCACAGTCAAGGGACAAAACTCCACTAGAGGTGAGAAAGCCAAAGCCATGTAGCCTCCAGATACCCCCAGGAGTTTATTTGATGACGGCATCTAAAGGTACCTATGAGAGCACTAGTAGCAATAGTCGTCATGTAGTTCGCCAAAGCCAGTTCTCTGCAATTCAAGGCAAAATAAACAGGTGGAGACAAGTAGCTCATTCATTCAACAAACCTTAAACAGGGAATAAAACCCAGCCCCAGCCCTCAAGGACTTCATAATCAAGTCGGGGAGACAGACAGGGAACCCACCAAGTACTTTTAATGTCATTATAGTTGTTTAGAAAGCCAACTTGAAGCCTCCACAGCTCATTGGCCCTAGCCCTGTTGCCATGTCTCGTATGAAGATCTGTCTCTTGAGAACTCCTGTTCAAAGCATATTACAACAAAGAAATAATAGCAAGAAACTTTGACTTATTAGATCCTCAAGGCTGCCACCACAGCTTCTGTAAGCGCATTTCTTCTTTCCAGTTCCCAGAGAAAAACCCCACAGGGTCTTGCTGTGATTTATTGACTCAGATTTTCTAATCTTACTGTTTATACAGCCACACCTAGCTGCAGACAATCTAGACAAGATTCACGACGAAAATGGAAACAATCTATTACATATTGCGGCGTCACAGGGACACGCAGAGTGTCTGCAGCACCTCACTTCTTTGATGGGAGAAGACTGCCTCAATGAGCGCAACACTGAGAAGTTGACTCCAGCAGGCCTGGCCATTAAGGTGACTGGTTGGGGGCTGGAACCTCCACAGCTAGAAGTCAGATTTCTATGTTTTTGAGATTCCATGTGAGCTAAAGTGTTGGAAGGGAGAGAAGAGAGTGATTTGTCAAGCAGAGAGCAAATGAACATATTGCATTTAAGAGAGTTGTCATTTCAGTCACTAACTGTCTTGAGATTTTGAAACTAAATTCCCAGTTTTTGTCAATCTGCTACTAAAGAGAAAGGAGAATGATAGGTTGTGGTTCTAAGAACTTTTGCTATTCATAGGGATCGCAGTTTAGCTTCTTAACCACACCTGGATCTATCAGAGACTGTCATTTCTTCCTAATATGAGAATAATGAGCAGGACAAATAGGGGAAGGTATGTTTTAAGGATGCTAGCACTCAGGAGTATTTCAGATAACAAAGTGGGCTCTTAACAGATCACATCTGCAGTTTTAGTGTCTTTAGTATTAAGAATGTTTTAGAATATCAGTGCCAAATTTGAGTTTAGCTCTTGCAGAGCACCGTATGCTGTCAAAAACTACACAAATTATTGTTGACTAGGATACAGTTAAAAACTAGAAACTGTGAGACAAGAAAACATGGACTTTTATAGCACTGCAGCAAGTGCCTCTGCAAAATAGAATACATCACTAGAAGATTAGCTATTCAGCTAAAATTACTTTTAAGATCCTTGGCAAATAAATGTAGAATTCAATCATATTTATTAAAAAGCCAGAAGTGACATTCAGGGGAATATAATGCATCTTGCAGTTTTGTGTATGTACTTAGCTTTACATAATAGTTGTGTCTTCTAAAAGCTGAATAATTGTAATTTTTATAAATGGAATTATGTTGAAATTGATGAGGGGAATTTATTAGAGAAACCTACATGTGAATTCACTAAAGAATGTTACATTTAAAAAATAATCAACTGCTGTTCTACCTTAATGTATCTTTTATGCAAACATGGTTTGTTTTTAATTTGATCATTCAGCCAAGTTTTATACATTAAAAATAATTTCTAATTAATTTTGCTCAGTTAAGCAAATTAATAAGATAATCTTCAAATCTATCATAGAAAATAATTTTTTCAATAAAATAAATCTATGACCCTAGTGGGTATCATTTTCCTTTGGTTATAACTGATAAGATGATGAATTAAGAACTAAACTGCAGGCAACTATCATGAAGAAAGATAAGCAAATGTAAAGTCAAGCTTTAATATAGTTGAGCTTAACAAAGTGTACCAAGTTTACCAGGTACTGTGTTCAGTGCTGACAATACAAATTTGTATAAGTCATAGTGTCTACTTTTAAGGAACTAATAGCTGGTGGATGAGACTGGTAAGTTGTCAGTAACACAAGTACAGGATGGCAAATTTGGGTTATAGTCCTGTGAGAGTCCTGAATACATCAATGAGTATGTGTCAGTGCTGAATAAAATATTCTTGCAGTGTCAATGAGGGCTGAGATTTGTCTTGCTGTTTTCTTGTTTATAAAATACAGTTCTTATTAGTCTTCCTAATGGTAGATTACTGAATACCTCCAAATTATATAGGTAGATGAAAACAATTTTTTCTTAATTTATATGCCTTAGGGCTTCTTTTGATAGATTAAAAATCTCTGAGTAGAAGGTACATAAGAAACTTCATGGGCATTACACCAATCTTCAGCATAAACACCTTCTGTGATATCCATAATAAGTTTCAATTCATTCTTATATTCCTGCAGTCAATATAAGATTGCCATCATAAAATCAGTGTATGAGCAGTTTTTCTTCATTTTAATGAAAAAGATTTCAAACCCATAAGATTCAACAGCTTTTACAGATTTGAGCCCTCGGGCTTTTCGTACTTTACTTCCAGACAATGATTCAACTGTTCTGTTCCTTTATTCTGGAATTTACAAAAGCAGTAAACAGAAATATTTTATAATAAGTGCTACCCTCTTTAGAAATCTGTCCTGACACATATTTTTGTCTCAGTCCATTCAGTGTATTTTGATGAACATTGATGACGTTGAGAGAGTTCTAAGGAGTCATTTGGTTTTAGGACCTTGTTTTGAACACCAGTAACCAACTAGTGGTGTTTCACCTCATTAAGCACAGTTCGGAGGGCCCTGCTGTCATGAAAGACAAAGTTGATACAAATGGACAGAAGTTGCTAAGATAATATGACTTGGCTGACAGAAAGCAGAGTTAGGGATAAGGTATCAAATTGAAAGATTACTTGAGAACAGGGGCTTTGAAGTCATACCAGGGCTTAAGAACATCTCTCCCTCTCTATTAAACTTCTGGAATGGAACATAATAAATTCTGCCAGTTACAAGCAGAATTTATTGACTACTTCTGGGATGCCAAGAGTAGATACTGTGGGAGTTCAGGATATTATTGAGTTTTCTTTAGAAATGATTAGGCAAAGTAATTGGAAAGAAAATACTTCTAAAAGGTGAGAGCTGTCTGTTTTCTAAAATGGGACAGCAGAAGAAATTATTTTAAGACTTAAACAGTCTTGGAATGAAATAATCTTAATTCCCTTTTAATTTCTCATTCAATCCTTTGAAGCAAAGTGTCCATCCGGGAATAACATGACTTCAAATACATAACGTTATACTCCCTTTTAACATACAGTGAGTGACCCCAGGCCCATAGACTTTGGCAGGCAAAAGTCTCCCACTAGAATTGTTTGTTTGTTTCTTAGTATGTATATTTATGGCAAGTAATACTTGTTTCAAACTTGCAGTAGTGATATAATATTTCCTTCTGCCTTTCTAACAAGATTTTACTTATTTTAAATGTTGCCTCCTTGAATAACTAGACCTAACAGACATCTAATCGAACACTACCCAACAATAGCAGAAAACACATTCTTGTCAAGTACACATGAAACAGTCTTCAGGATAGACCATATGTTAGGCTATGAAATAAGTCTCGATAAGTTTTAAAGGATTGAAATACAAAGTTGTGTCCTTCAATCATAATAGAATGCAATTAGAAATCAATAACGAAAGGAAATTTTGGATGTTCAGAAATATATAGAATTACATGTCAAAATAAATCAATGTATTAAGAAATCACAAGGAAAATTTGTAGATGAATGAAAATGAAAACATAACATACCAACACTTACAAGATGCAACTAAAGCAGCACTTAGAGGGAGACTGGTAGCTGTAAATGCCTCTATTAAAAGAGGAGGAGAGAGAAGTGGGGAGGAGAAAGACCTCAAATTAATAGCCTAATCTTCCACCCTAGAAAACTAGAAAAAGAAGAGCAAACTAAATCCAAAGCAAGCAGAAGAAAGGAAATAATAAAAATTAGAGTAAAAAGAAATAAAATGAATAACAGAAAAAATAATAGAGAAAAATCAACAAAATAACATTTAGTTCTATGAAAATATTTTTTAAAATTGATGATGAATGTAAAATTAAGGTAAACTGACCAAAAAAGAAAGAAAGAAAGAAAGAAACCAGTAGAGAGAAGACCTACATTACTAACATCAGAAATCAGAAATGTTCCCTTATATTTCTGTGTTCTGTGTAAATACCAATTTACTTAAACTGTCTTGCCTAGTAAGTGATCAGTATGGTTTCTATTCCTTTCCTTCATTTAGAGGATATGAAGCATATTGTATTAGCGTGTTGTCTTTTTGTTTTTAATCCTGGTAGGAAATATTTGGCATGCTCAAATTGTGAAATTTAGGGAAAGTCTGTAATTAAGGGATTATACATAAAAGGATAATTGAGGGCAAGGGAGTTCGTAAAGGAAAATGCAGTATCCTGGGTTCTCTAATAATGAGGACACAGTTACCTCCTTGGGAAACTGAGAAAGGGAAAGGGGTGGTTATAAGATAAGAGATAGAGAAGGCTGAATACAAAGGACTGGCTTACTTTTGAACTTTTTAAGGGATTCAGCTGGCCAATGGCAACCCCATAGAGGGGGCCTCAAATTCACTTCCTTTCCTGATCTGCCACTGCTCTCCATCAACCAGATCCAGCCAGAGGGGCAGGGAGCCAACTCATGCAGACCAACCTCCCAGGGAAAATACCTCAAGAGAATAGAATCTGCATGTAAATAGTTGGGAGTTCTATTATCCAAATGGAATAAAATGAAGAATGAGTAGATTACCTCATTGTCTTTCTTTCAGAATAGATTTTTACCCTTGAGCAGTTAAATGACAGAATTCTAAAATAAAGAGAAAATAATTCTATTCTACTAATTTAAATGCTACCCTCAGTGAAGCCTCGTCTGGCTCCCTGCCAACCATACCTCTTTTCTCTTGGGCTAAGATCCCACAAGCTGCAAGCTAGGAAGGCGGCTGAATGTTCCATTTGTCTGACAGAGTCATTGTGAGAAACTAACAGAGCTTTCTAACAGAAGGTAACAAGTATTGTGTGCTTAGTAAGTTTACATGATTTATCTCATTTTATCTTCATGGTAACTCTGTGAGGTAGTTACTATTATCCCTGCTATTTCACTATTTCACAGATAAGAAAATTGAGTATCAGAGAGATAAAGTAACTTGTCCGTGGTCTTGTTACTAAGTGGCAGATTAAGATTTAAATCCATGCCAGAATCTGGGTTTTAATCACTAGGAGATCTATATCTACATCGATATCCATATCTATAAGTAGTAGGGAACGTTTTCTACAGATATGTATGGTATATCTGTATTCTACAGATATATATTGTAGCTATTTACATGCCTTGACTGCTTTTTGAAAGAAGTTTAAGATTCTCAAAAATTATGAGAAATGTTTTAAAAAGTATGACAGTTAAAAATCCTCACAAAAGACTGTAAGAAATTCCTACTCTTTTTCCTGCTTACTTTTACTTGATCCTAAAGATCATGAGGGTTGGTTTCCTTAAAAATGTAAAAGTTGAGGATATTTTACTTTCTGTTTCCATAGTTATATTATTTGTGTATAATAAATCATAATTTCCCTTTTTAAAATTTTTTAATATTTTACTATTTACCTGATCCCTTATTGAAAATTTTAATTTTAAATATTTGTTTACTGATTTTTCTTTAACAAATATGATTCTTTGGGGATTGGAAGACAGTTGTATATCTTATGAAGTTTAATTGAAGAATACTGATTAACTGTACCACGTGTTGGCTTGGTTTTGGAAATACTAAAATGCTCAGATGATGCTAGTGGTGATGTAAAGTGCGCACTCACTTTAAATACTAATGTGATGTCTTTTTATTAAGTCAAATATATAGCTGCCATGCAACTCAGAAATTTCAGTGTTTACCCAGGAGAAAGAAAAGCATTTATTCACAAAAAAAATATTCATAGCAAGTTTATTTATAATATCCCTCAAGTGGAAACAATCCACATGTCTATCAATAAGTTTTTGGATAGATAAATTGTGGTATAATTCTACAGTGAAATACTTCTCAGCAATAGGAAAAGAATAAATTACTTATACAAGCAGTAGCTTGGATGAATCCCAAAGGCCTGCTGTATAAAAGAAGCCAGACACAAGACTACATACACTAATCTCCTGTGACAGAAGTCTCATCAGTAGTTGTCTGGGACAAAGGTGATGTAGGTGAGAACCACAGAATACTAGAATACTTTTGGGGGTGATGGAAATGTTCTTTGTCTTGATTGAAGTTGTAGTAACAGAAGTATACATACTTGTCAAAACACATCAAACCATATACTTTAAAAGATTATATTTTATAGTGTGCAAATTATACCTTACTAAAGTGAGTTTAAAATAACTGATTACAATTATGAAAATGAACTTAAATAAAAATTCTGCAATTGATTTAGACCCAACTCCACAGATCAGGAATATAGTATAATACATTATATCTTTAAAAGATAGATAAATTAAGCCAGATATAAATGCCAAAATTTGTATGATTTATTTCCTTGGTAAAATTCCTATCTTTTATGTATTTTGCAAACCTGAATTACCTTGAATTTGTGTCTCTCTTTCTTTTTTAAAATCTAGAATGGTCAGTTGGAGTGTGTACGCTGGATGGTGAGCGAAACAGAAGCCATTGCAGAACTGAGTTGTTCTAAGGATTTTCCAAGCCTCATTCATTATGCAGGTTGCTATGGCCAGGTATGAAGATTTTTTTTTTAAGTATCTTCCCTTTGTGTACCATATCATCTTACTGCTGTTTTGTTATTAGCCCTTCAAAATCCAAACATAAGAAATCATCAAAAATGTATCCAAAGATATATAACCAATGATATTTGTTGTTGTTTTTTAAAATAATCAAAAAAGTTTGCAACAACCTAAATAAATATTCCATGGCAGATACTGGATAAATAATTAGGCTACATCCATTGATGGCATTTTATGAGAAAATGTTCATTATGTAGTACTAAATAAATATGTATGATACAAAACTGATCCTATAATTTAGTACCAAATTTGCATTTTGGAGATAAATAGAAAATAGTACTAAAAAAGATTGTGTCACAATATATGTGTAGTAGTTATCACTCAGAGTAGAAGTACAAGTGGCTTCTGTTTTCTATTTTTAAAATTTTTCAGTATTTTCCAAATTTGTTACAATAAAAACATTTAATATTTATCAAAAGGAACAACAGTACATTTTCTTGAACCCAAAGTTGAAAGGAAAATCTTTTTAAGACATTAATCAAGGCAGTCTCATTCAATTAAAGATGAATAAGCACATTAACTAGATGGCTCTGAGTTGCAATCAATTTTCACATTAAGAATTCCCAACATTAATTAGTGTACACATATCACAATCAAGTGTATGCAGTTAAAAAAAATTACTACCTCCTTTTGCAGAATGTGACTGTAAATTACCTTTTTAAAAAATTGGAACCACAAAATATCAATCTCAGTCTTAAAAATAATAGTACTATGTTAAAATAGATTTAATTGTATTTGTGGCAAAGAAAATGTATTTAACTGTATCCTCTTTAGCTTCATAAACTCTCCCAGTAGAAGTAAACTGTGGTATTGTCAACAAGAGATTATGCTGTTCCAACTATGACAATCTCAAGTTCAAAAAGTAGACAAGAATATTACTACAGTCTTTCTTTAGTGGGAGTCATGCTTAGGGATAGTTTATTTTGCTCTATGGTAACTTCTGCTTGTGTGTGTGTGTGTGCGTGTCTATTATATGTATTATATAAAAGCGTGTTTTATATCCTATATATACATGTAAAATGTTTCCTATACATGTGGCACCATGCCATTGGATTTTTGTGTGCATTATCTGATTGATTCCTCAAAACAACCCTAAGAGACCTTGTTGTTTTTATCCCCATTCCATAGATGAGGAGACTGAAGAAAGAGAGTGAAATGACTTGTACATGATCTAATGGCTAGTAAGAGCACCAAGTAGACTTCAACTCAGGTGCTCTCACTTCATTCAGGACCAGATCCTGCTTTGTCCCCATTTGTACTGAAAATGTATGAAATTGTTTGTAGGGGCACTGATATAGCTGAAGATGACTTTTTGCAATTTTATCTAACAATACATTATGGTATTTGGAATGCTTCACATAACTCATTGAAGAAATTTTCAACTGTACCAAGTTTATGCAATGGAGAAAGGAGCAGGCCCAAGATTAAAATTTGTAAAAGCCACTGTCTTTGAAATATTGTACTTACTCTGTGTTCTTTGTACATTGCAGTTACTAGTCCCCATCCACAGTGTCCTGGAAACAATGAATACTAGTTAATAAGGCATGACATAAAGGTGCAATTTTTTGCTTCTGCAGACGCTCCCCAACTTACAATGGTTCAACTTACAATTTTTTGACGTTACAGTGCTGTGAAAGAGATACACATTCAGTAGAAACCACATGTCAAGTTGGAATTTTGATCATTTCCCAGGCTAATGATATGCAGTACAATATTCTCTTGCAATGCTGGGTCATGGCAGACACATCTCCCAACAGCCACATGATCACAAGGTTAAACAACCAATACCCTACAGTGTATTAAATGCATTTTCAACTTAACAGTGTTTTCAAATTAGGATGGCTTTATCCATCCATAACCCATTGTAAGTCAAAGAACATCTATACTGGAAAAGGAGAGAAGAGGATTGTCAAATGACCAGAAGAACTTGATCACTACTCATCTTCCTAATCATTTTCAATCTAAAAGAGAATTTTGTTCAATTGTGTGAATAGTTATTTTGTGTCCCCGATTTCATTTGCTTATATTTAAGCCTAAAAAGGAATTTTAAGTATCAGTAGAAAGGCTGCCCACACTTTTGGTGGAGCTTGCCAAAGAAAAGGAGGAAAGGTTTGCACGGCTGTTCTGAGACTCTAAGTAAATTATCGGGCATTCGGCATTCTTTGTCTTGGGAAATGTTGATTATATATGCCAGTTTCTTTTTTCAGCTCTCACAGCAGGTTTCTCATAATTTTGAAGCTATTGGGACTGAACAAAATAAAGTGCCCTTTTTCTGGGACTGGTTGGGTCACAGTGTAACTTATTTGTTGGGACTAGAGGAAAATACGGAAATTCGTGACCTGTTTGAAGAGCTGTGTCAAATGTTTGCTTCATGCTAGTATCAATCTTCAGGTTGTTATTTCAAGATGATAAGTATTTTTTATGACCTAAAATACAGCTCTGAGGGGGGCAGTCCAGCAGCACCCTTAGGAGATCATTTTTACCCAAGTGGAAAATATAGAAGCCCATTAAAACTGCAAATTCTGTCCAGCCATCCTGCGTCCGCCACAGCCACTTATGTAACAGATAACCTGTGGAGATTCTAAACTTGGAACCATTACAAGCCTAATATTTTCACAAGGAAGACTGTTATTGAACAGTTTTCTAATGGATTCAGCACATGCAAGTTTTTCTACATCCAGCAGGCATTTGAGTGTGTCCCGGCTTTGTTTCTTTGGTAAATGCCTCTGGAAAGGATAGTAAAGAGGAAAATTCCTCTCGGTTTGTTTTAGTCGCTCTCTGCCCTTCAGTTAGATTCCTAAAGAATGGGCTCCATGTGACTCCCAATTTGTGTCCTTTTGCTTGTAAAAATTACCTTTAAAGACTCTAGTACTGCAAGGTAGCCAGCAGTTTTTAGTGGTCTCCTGGAGTGATCGATCCCTGGGTAATAGAAATTGATTTTCTTCATCTTGACACATGAAGTCTCAGAGGGTGCAATTATTTCATTGCCTGACTGTACCTAGCAGAACTAGCCACGGGGAATGTGAAGATGGAAGCCTCAGCAGGGACACCCAAGGAATAAGCAGGGAGTGTCCTCAGATAAGCCTGCTTTGCTGTCCCTTGAGAAAGATGTCACTGGCAAAACAATTGAAATGGAATTATCTCAATTCAAAGCTACTGCCTGTGTAACTTGGGCTGTTTTATTCAAACATGAAGGTTCAGTTTGTCTAGTCCAGGCTCTCTCAGCACAGCTTCCTGCCCTCCACTGCTTGGAAGCCTCTGCCTGTTCTGCATTGGTCATTAGTCCAGTGGGCTCTTCCTGCTCTGCTTTGATCATTAGTCTAGTGGGCTCTATGTCACTTTCAACATCAAACCTGTGGTTCCTTTTGTTTCTGAATCATTCATGTGACTTTTAGGCAGGAGATTCTTCCACAAAAACAACCTGCATCATGACATGGAACATTTATTAAGAGCACCTTTGCCTATACTGTAGTTATTATTCTCCGCTTTAAATGTTTGCCTTGATACAGATTATTTTTAAGCACACTTTTTGAAAAAATAAAAGACTCAGCAATTCTTGCAAGTCATCGTGAGCAGTGGTAGACATGCTGGTGAGGGGGGTGTTCCCACAGGCTGTATTATTGTTGTTTTTCCACAATTTACTTTAAAAAGAAAAAATATTCCCCTGCCTTTATTGTTTTACTGTCATAGGGAAGTAAGTCAACAGTACTGAAAGTGCTGCGATTGCAGATGAAAGCAAAATAGAAAAGTCTTTGGTTAGCACGCATATCCATGTGTTCTCCAAGTTCTGATCTTGACAGAGCATAACTGACACAGAGCCCCACAAACCCACAGACTGACAGGCAGTTAACTGTGATTTCTTTGACTCAAGGGGCACAAAGGAAGCATGTCTTTTACGGAGTCAGGGGTCATGAGGGGATGAGCAACTGGGGATATCCATACTCAAAAGACAGAAAACAGTCATGAAGAACATTGGTTCATATGGCAAGCTGTCTCCATTGTCATCCTAACCTTACCACTTACTAGTTCAATGGGTTAGATATTTTAATTTTCTTTTTAAAAAAAGAGAAAAAATAAAAGAATAGGTCTCCCTTGACCTCAGTTTCTTCATCTGTAAAATGGAGATAATAGAACCTTCCTCACAATGTTGATCTGAGGACTAAGTGAGAAAAGCCACATTGCCCAACACATAGTAGGCACTGAATGAATGTTGGCTTTTATGACTGTTGAATCTCCTCCAGCTTATTGTTTGTATTTCTGTCAGTATTATTCAGTTTATTTATTTTACCATTAGTAATATATAGGAGAAACTTGCCGCGGAATTATTAAGGCCATAATCTGTTTAATCCATTCTTAGATGCACTTTATTTCACTTTTTACCATCTTTTGATTCTACATATATCTTTTAACACATGACATTATAAAATCCTTGCTGACTTTTATTTTTTACTGTTTTACATCTCAAAAACGGGAAGAAATCTTGTAATAGTTTGCTTATTAGATTTGATAATCTATGACCACAAAGCTAACCCCTTTAAAACATGGATTGCCACACAATATAGAAATTTTATTTATACCAGCCATAAACCTGTGACATACTTCTCAGTTACATTTTTTATTAGAATTTGTCCAGCAAATCTCATAAATCACATGAGATAATTGCCTCTTTAAACAACTTGCATGGCCCTTAGGAACACATAAAACACAACATTAAAGCAGGTTACAAAAACAGCAGGAAATCCCCAGAAGAGGAAACTGCTGAGGGAAACTACATGAGAGAAGTTTTCAGTCAATAGATGAAGGCTGAGTGGATAGATGGCTATTTGGGTAGATGATGAAATGTAAGTTGGAGAGGCATTTTGTGAAACAAATGCTATAGAAATCTGTATCCATTTGACTTCCTTAGATACTCTCTGAAAGCAATACTTATGGGAAAATGAAGGCCTGAAGTTACATCCATCCTTTAACATCTCCTGAGTTTGACACCCACACCGAGAGAACACATACAAAAGGGCTAAGAGGGGAGGGGGACACCATTACACATGTACCTAATACACATTCACATTAACAAATGCCTTCTTAGCAGGAGAAAATAGCCATATTTGTTTCATCCTTAGGAGGTATTTTCAGATAGTCACTTTGAATTGTAGGACTGTGCATCTCAACAGGCATGGTCCCCAGAATCAGGGCAGGATTTATCTATGAGCAAATATTAAATATGTTTTTTACCAAAACCAGGGACTCTAGCCATCTCCATATCCCCCTCAAAAACCCTAAATATTTGTTATTAGAAGACCAGGTATATAGTGAACCCGTCATTTTGGGGAGTACTTCTCTGCATGGTATAATGGGAGATTTTGGTTTCCATATCATATCTCAGTGGACAAGCCAATTGTACTTTATTTTAAATTCTTATGCTTACTCTTAAATTGTTTAATATAGAACACAAGACTGGATTTGAGGCACTAGGCGAAGCCTGTCGTGTTATGAACAATCAAATAATGGTTCTTGCTAGAATCTTTAATTGTAAGGAAGAAGAGTTATCCATGCCTTCATAGGAAGGGAAAGCAGGTTATTGTAACAATACAGATTGAACCTGACTTGGAGAGCCCTTAGAAGCCAAGGCAACTTTTGGCTAACACAGACCATGTGTGCGTCTTGTTGTCCCAGATTATCAAGCCCCTGAAAAGTCCAAGGTCCCAGACTCTCCCCAAGATTTCCACAATGGAAACATTCCTACTCTTATGAAGTGCAGTATTCCATTGCCTATAAATAACCCCACTACTAAAACTAAAGCACTGTGATTTTAATAAAGAGCATTTTTTGTGTGTGTGTGGAATAGACAAACCCACCATAATATTGGGCCTGAAAATCTGGAATTACTTCTAACAAGAAGATACATGTAAAACAATTCTCAATATCTTGAACTCCTCTCAGCTTTATTTGCTAAAGAAAGAAGTCGCTAGAATATCTAAGAATATGGCAGGTCCTTGAATTAACCTTGTTTCTTTCAACATCATCTTCCTATGATGTTGGGGAGAAGAAAAAAAAAAACATTCCCAGCCAAGGCCACTGTCTGTGTGGAGTTCGCTGATTCTCCACATCTCTGCATGGGTTTTCTCTGGATACTACAGTTTCTCTTCACATCCCAACGATGTGCACGTTAGGTGAATTGGTGTGTCTCAGTTGGCCAGCGTGAGTGAATGTGTGTGGCTGTGAATGCACCCTGTGTTAGGGTGCTGTCCTGTCCAGGGATTGTTCCTGCCTTGTGTTCTGAACTGCCAGGGTGGGCTCCAGCCACCCACAACCCTGAACTAGAATGATCAGATAAATAATTATCTTGTTTTTATTAGTCTTTCTTAAATGTATAGCTCACATTTATCTCAGTATTTCACTTTAGAAGTATTTGGTCTTTATTTAGAAGTTTGGTGCTGTTTTTGTGACCAGAAATATGTTAACTAAACTCTTGTTTATGTCGATTGACCTATGGTAAAATTAGTTTCATTATACTTCATTTTGCTTAAAGTTGAAGTTTCCAAGAACCTGAACCTGGCATCAGATGAGGACTTGCTATATATTATTATCCTCTCCCTCAGTTTTCTGACTTATAAAATAAGGCTTTTTGAATTGGATGATTCTTTGAAATTTCTCCCCTTCACATTTTTAAGAGTCCATAATTTGATATCATGAAGCAAACCAAATTACCACAAGCTTGAGACTGACCCGTTAAGGATGACTTGTTCTGCCTATGATGGGGCCATCTTTTTCACTGGTAGAGGCACCATAACCTGTCCTCTTGCAGCCTCCATGTCTGAGCTATTAACCTCAACCAGTTGGTTATGACTTTTATCCTGAGATACTTCCATTCATCCAGATTTTTAAGGAGTTAAGATCACATGGTATAATCATCTATGTCCAATTAAAAGTAAGCCAGTATCTTCCCCCTACCTAATTAGAAAAAAACAAAGGAACGGCTTTTACCTTAGGCAAATGAAACATCACCTGTTCTGGTCCAAACATCGGCTCCAATTTTCTCTAGATTTGCCTTTGAAGAAGAGGGCTAAGCACAGCAGCACATCCTTATCCAGCTTATAACTCCCAGCCATAGCGCCAGGCTCTGCCTCTACCTCATTCTCTAGGGACCCTTGAGGGTTTCAGTTTCCACAAGGTCTGTCTGCTTTTGCAGTTAACACTCACCCTGCTTTGCACCAACATAGATTACATTGTTCTCACCACGCTCTTTAGGGGTTTTACTCTCTGGTGCTCATTTAGAAAAAGAGTGATGCGAATGTTCAGTCTGTCCCTTATGTCACAGATGCCTTCATAAACAGCACCTTGTTCCCCCGCATAAGGGTTGAAACATTAAAGGATTTGGCTGTTTTTATCCCACATTCCTTTAGCAGATTAGTTGGCATGTTCAGAAGATGAAGGCAAATTTAATCCAGAAAAGTATAAAAGTTCATGACCAGTCCAAGCAAATAACTGGAAAAAAATCCTTTAAAAGGCTAAGAAGAAAGAAGTTCAAGGCTATTTCAAACACATGATCATCTTTTTAAATGTCAAATTCCACCCACTAAACTTCATGCTGTTGTTTTTACCACTCTCATATTTTTTTAACTTTATATTTAATTCTTCTATTTTAAAACAGTGAAATCCCATCCCCCTGCTTTCTCCAAAGGCCAAGCATAACATGAAAATACCACAGAACACTCAGTGGGTAAAATGCAAACAGATTATGACAACACATACTGTGACTGCTCTATGTCTTTGCTTTTGAAAGGTTTGTGTTCCAAGCTTTTGGTCCCCTTCCTTTAACATGAAAGAAGAGAAATCTTTACCTTAAGACACCAGCAACACCACCAACACTTGGTCAGAAAAATCAGAAGTGTCCTGGTTTTCAATCAGGTTATCTTACACTTGGCAATTTAAGGTATGACCTGTTTTTATAAGCCTGTTGATTGCAGGAAGTATGGATTACGAAGGCATGGTTGAAGAATTATAAACTTAAAAATAGAAACTAGTTCTCAGTAATCCAAGGTTTGATGCTAATATTCTTGAAGTCTCCAGGCAGTATAACACAGCAGCAAGAATATTGCCTTGGGAGCCTTGGAATCAAAAGACATGGATTCTAGCTCCAACCTTGGATCTGTCTAGCTGTGTGCCTTTGACGAGGCGCTCAAACTTACTGCCAACCTGTTTTCCTATCTGTAGAATAAATAAGTAAAACAAGAGCACTTCCAAAAAAACTTCCTGCTCTTAAAATTCTCCATGTTGTCCTTTTTCATTCATTTCAGTCAGAAATTCAGGATTTTCAATTAATACTGAATGAGAATTTTCTCTTGCTACGGTAAGCTTGGTTTTTACCTAAGCTTCACAAATTAGAGTATTGTTTTCCTCTGTATTTTTATCTGACTTCTCTACAAGATATTACATGAATTCCAACTGTCTTTGTGTTTATAGGAAAAGATTCTTCTATGGCTTCTTCAGTTTATGCAAGAACAAGGCATCTCGTTGGATGAAGTAGACCAGGATGGCAACAGTGCTGTCCACGTAGCCTCACAGCATGGCTACCTTGGGTGCATACAGGTACACAGGCCTTGCTATTTTGCAAAGAGAAATGAGTGCATCAAGTATTAAAGAAAACATTGAAATTCCGTTCACTAGGAGAATGTCTGAATTAATTCACCTTTTGTATGGTCGTAGACAATAAGGAATTATTACTCTATTTGTATTTCAAGAAATCCACACAAATGTAGGCATAAATATCTCTAAATTTTCTCTTTGAGTATCCCAGGCTGTTGAAAGGGACTTTTCCTGCTCCCTTAACACTGCTCTAAAGCCCCAGTGCTGAGGAAAATAGACATTAAATATCCCATATTCTCAAAGCACCAGAGAAACCACCACCAGGCAGACACCCCTGTCTCTCCAGTGCAGGTTGCTCTTGCCCTCACGAGTAAATCTCTCTCTTCCAGGTATATGAAGAGCAAAACAGATTTTTCAGGAATGGATTAGAATTCTTTGTGGTAGGGGGTGCAGGCTAGAGACAGAATGTTGTGGTTCCCCCTCTCTCTGTAGTAGGACTGAGCTCCTCAAAGGTATTCAAAAGGTCCAGAATTGGTTGGGGGTAGATTTATATATTGATCCTCTCAGCCCTTGGGCATGTTAACCAGTGCCTTGATTGGCCAACCACTGCACCCAACAGCCTCAAGTAGCCTTATCGTTTTAGCCTAACTTGCCTTCCAAATATTGTCACGTCCAGTGTGTACAATAATGTCAAAAAGTTGGGGAGCAGAGCCACAGGAGAGGGGAAGGAGGTTCGTCCCCCTGCCCCAAGCCACGTGAGGAGTGCTCCAAGAAAGCTCCCTTGAGAGTGTGGGATTCCTATGGGAAGAAAAGGTAGCATCTCATCCCTCAGCTGAATGCAGAGCTGCACGAAGCTGGGCCAAACCCAGAGCTACCATCCGAGTAGTGCATGGCAGGAGAGCCCAGTAGGGATCTCCAGAAGTGTGAAGTATATAGACCTTTCCACCTAGAAAATGTTGACTTCCCTCAGTAACGGAGCAAAAAGGGAGGATAGCTGAAGGAGGAGTAGCAGGTAGAAGAGGCATGACAATGTGAGGAAAGGAAAGGCTTTGAGCTGGAAACAAAGTCCAAGTTTAGACTTGGTCTACAGTTTCATTTACAGAAATAATTACCAGAATCAGACCAGTTATACCATTATTATCATTGAAAGCGACCCAACATCTATGGATTTTTTCCCTTATCTACCTGACAAGAGGGATAGGGAAATTGACAACATATGGTTGAAATTCACAATTAGAGACAAGACTTTTACCTCAAGTTCATTCAGTTCAAAATATGTTACGTATATATAACATAGAATACATTTTCTACCTTTAAGAATGCAGCAGTCAGCATTCTTTCTTTGGCTTACACATGTGTTAGTTTCCTATGTTGCAAACTCAGTGTGCTCAGTTATTCAACAGGTACTTACTGCGGCCTTCCTGGCTGCAAGATAGATGGTATCCAAAACAGAAAATGGGGAGGTGAGGACCAGTTGTTCAGGAAGGCAGAGAAGACTTGGGAAATGACAAGAGAATATATGGGAAAACTATAAATATATCAAAGACAGGAGATTTATGAAAACAAAAAGTAGAAATAGTAGCAGAAATCTCTCTAGAGTGCCTACTCACATGAAACTGCTGTTTGGAGAACTAACTTGATAGGAAATAGTCCAGATATCTGAAAGTTTTTCTATTATTGTTGGCAAAGCATGCATCTTCTAATTTAAGGTACCAAGTGTTAAAAAGAGTGCACAGAACTGGAAAGTATAGAATAGAAATATAAATTCTTACCAGGTTCCACAGAAATATCAAAGGAGTAGGATTTTTGTGTGAAGGAAAGATGATTGAATAAACACTGAAAACTTAATCAGCTAACAAATGACTAAAGCCAAAGAACGCCAGCTGATAGCACTAATGCTATTTGAGATTTTAGTTATTTTTCTTTTCAATATGTGAGGAGAGACAGTCTGTCCTTTTAGAGCATTCATCTCTTCACTTACACATAAATGATATTTTTGGCACTGGATACCATGGAAGTGGAAACTTGGATAATCTTGGAAGGGGGTCTGTCCACTGGGTGTGAAATTTAAAGAAAAAAAAATATGATACTGAAAGGGAGCAAGGGACCTTAAGAGGTGAGGAGGGGACTGAGTAAGGAAAACAATGGAAAGAAAACTGCAGAGTTCCTATCAAGGGGGAGTAATAACAGTGTGTGTTTATAGTGTATCTCCTCAGGAGCTCTCAGAGCTCAATACTGATATGGTCTCTGTGACACTCCTGTGAGGTAGGTGGCAACAGCTTTGTGGTGAGTCGACCTTTCATGGTGAGTGATCATAAACCAAAAGGAAAATGAAGCTCCTGATTGACTTCTGAGTCTAAGTAGTCTAAATATTTAAATACTACAACTATTGGTTAGGGGAAAATACTGTCTACTACCAAAATTCATCTAGGTTTGCCATCTTATCATGATATTGTCAAAGATATATCATATTATAGTGGTTGATTAATTTGATATAATAACTTCATGTGGAATCTAATAATATCACAGTATGGACACAAAACAGTTTGGGTGTTTTTTTAATTTTTAATTTCAACCATGCTCCATCAAATCTCTCTCTCCACTACTAATGATACCTTGACCAGATTTCTTATGACTATTAAAATTTACTCCTTTAAAGTCTCAGTCTTACTTCTGATTCAAAGCATTCTCCTTCCCACTCAGATTAGACTCAAGATTCAAGGGACTTGGAATGGGAGTAAGACATGGGTTTTATACACTACTTTAGGTCTTATCCCCACATCCCTTCTGGGCTGCAGTGTCAAGGACAAGGAGGAGGTATGAAGATAAAAAGTCCAGTGTCTCTTTGCTTAACTGGGAAGGGGATGGAACCCCCCTGAATGTTGTCCCTGCTTCTTTAGCTGGCTGAGGTCACTGATGCCCTCTGTGGCAACCTTCAGATGCTGACTCTCCAGTGAGTGCTGTGGGTCGGGTCTTGAGAGGGCCCTCTGGAGCCTTCCCCCTCCTCCCCAACACAGTTTCCTCCACCTCAGGGGCACCCTATTGCCAGTCACTGCTGGAGAGCCCTCTCCTCATTAAAGGGATGATAAGAAGCTCACACAAAGCTCTCTTCTATAAAGCCTGCTCAATTCACAGACATGCCCTTATCATGGCACATCATGTGAGTGTGGGGTCTGCTTCACAGCCTCCCCACTCTCAGCCATGTCATTTCTCTCCAGTTCCTTTTATTCCTGATCAGGTGGGCTCAGCAACAAATAAACAAGTGTTATTCCAAAACCAATGACCAGAGACTAAATCCAGTTACTAAAGCCCAAGCAAACAAGAACAGGTAAGATTTCAGTCTCCCCTCTTACAGGCATCTCTGACTTTATGAGTGATTCTCTTGGAGCCCAACCATGACAAGGGACAGAACTCACCACAAAGACTGCGCTGCATATCTCATAAAGGAGAGCACTCTGTGGACGGCCTCCTCCTCTCCTTCCCAGCCCTCTTCTTCTGTGGGCTGCAGGTGGGCATTGGTAGCAGTAGGATTGGCTCTTCTCTGTCATGATAGACTCTGAAGGGAGGTGTGTGAAACTGACTGCTGAAAGGTCCCTAGATGCTCTCTTTATCCTATTCAACATTCTGTTACAGTCACTTAAAAATAATGTGTACAGGGATGTCCTGATACACATGTCTCTTCATTTTTTGACAGACTTTGGTTGAATATGGAGCAAATGTCACCATGCAGAACCACGCTGGGGAAAAGCCCTCCCAGAGCGCCGAGCGGCAGGGGCACACCCTGTGCTCCAGGTACCTGGTAGTGGTGGAGACCTGCATGTCGCTGGCCTCTCAGGTTGTGAAGTTAACCAAGCAGCTGAAGGAGTAAGTGTCCTGTTGGTTCCATGCGAATCAAGTCTGGCTCATTATTGTTGTACTTAGGTTTCAGCCCAGTTCTGTGGCGAGCACTCCTCTCTAGTTGCACAGGGAATTCCTAGCATTCTCCTCTTCCGTTCTTCCATCCAGAGTCCTCATAGCCAGTGTTCATGCTGAAGGTGCCATCTCTGCAGAGGCAAAATTATATTTAAACAGCAAAGTGTACAGCAAGCTCCCTAAGAAGGGAATTCAAGCCAGTGGACAAGGAAAGAGAGCCTCTCTGTGTTCATACCTCAGGGCCAGATTACAGAGCACTGGACACATTCACAAGCATCATTTCTGCACTTCTGTCCTTAATATTTTAGGAAATCATAAAGAACATGAGAGGAAGAAAAAAAGCTAGAGATGGACCAGTTTCTCAGTTTTCTCAAAAAGAAAAGTGTGGAGGGGAAGTTAAGTTAAATAACTTGGTGACTATCACCAGCAAATTTATTATAAATATTAAATAGATGATGCATGAATCCTCAGAATAAAAAATAGTACTCTGTCAGCATGAAGTTACTTAAAACCCTCCATGACTAACTACAGTTAGTTCTTTCCTTGATAAGATTATTAAACTGGTAACCAGTGCATATCTGGATGTCAAAGAAGTATTTCTCGGAGATTGTCATGCTTTGCCTAGTGTTTAAACTCTGGCAAGTTGAAGGACTAAGGAGTTAACACCTGCCTGAGGGGAATCAAGGTCAGCCATTGAAAAGCTAACCCATTACATACTGTTGCCAGATTGGGAAGGGATTCCTGAAAATCAGAGTCAGCAATCAAACTAATGTCAACAGATTAGGAGGGTAAATCTTAAAAATTAAATTTTAGAGGGAAAATAATCTTACCTTTAAGTTTTATATACAAACACACACGTGTTTTTTCTGAATACAGCTCATTTGACAAAAGCCTTGGTTGGGTGAAATACCTCAATTAATTATAATCCATGCATCAGTATGACCGGGCCTTGGACCCTCTGCCTCTCCTCTAACCTTGGGGAAATCTCCCTTATCTCTCTTCTCCCACTCCTTTGACTTTGAGCTTCAAGTCTCTGTGCCCCCCACCCCTCCATTTGTTAATACTAGAATAATTCCTTTAATGAGTTTAGACTTCTAGAAAAAATCAGATAAAATTGGAAACTTAAAAAGAAGGGGTTACTGCTGAGTATCCTTGGCCTGTTTATACAATGCTTCCCCAGGTTAGGTGAGCTAGGTAAACCTAAAGGCCAATGCAATCACAGGGAAAATGCTCACAGATTAATAACTCAGTAAGCTGTCTTCCCACAGTGAACACACTTGTGCAAATGCCTTTACAAAGATGTATAGATATTTCTAAAAACAAGTTCTTAGAAAAGGAATTACTAGAGTAAAAGGCATACATATTTAAAATGTGGATAGACGTCAACTAATATCTTTCCAAAAGTGCTATACTGATGTCTACTCCCTCTGGTAATGTATGGACATATCTATAAAGAGGAACTTTAATCCAATGGAATGTTTGTTCTAAAGGTTCATACTCAGAGAAAAGATCACAAAACATTCTTCTTCTTCTCCATAGCATAGAATCTACAAAACTTTCACAAGCTGCAATCGCTTTTTTATTGGTGAGCTGCTCAAGGTCAAAATCTTGGCTGCTCTCTCAGTTGGTGATCCTGGGATAAGTACACATATATACTAGCAGAATGCTCTGGAGCCAATGACAAGACGAACTAAGAGAGGTTACATTGTATACCCTAGTCTTTTACTTACTATTATTTCAGTGAAGTTGGCAAAACTAGAAACAAATAGAGAAATCAACTTACTGCAGTCATAGTACGCTGTGCCTTCAGGCTCCCAGACATCAATAACAGAGACAAGGACAGGAGAGAGGATGAAAAACACTAGTCTTCATAGTCCAAAATTCTGGGGTAAGACAGTATTGAGTGCCTTTTCCAACCTTCAGCAACTCCTTAACTTAATAAATATAGTTACTATTTACAAATGGCAGCCTTCAGCTCTACTAAAGTGCTAGTCATCAAGTCTAGGTATTATGGGTCTCCCTCAAAAAAGTATGTCGGAATGTGACCTTATTTGGAGACAGCATCTTTCCAGAAGTAATCAAGTTACAATGAGGTCATTAGGGTGGGTCTTATTCTGACTAGTGTCCTTATAATAGGAGAACATTTAGACACAGACATGCACACAGGGAGAACACCATGTACACAGGAAGGCAGGGATCAGGACAGTGCATTTGCAAGCCAAGGAATACCAAAGACTGCCAGCAAACCACCAGAAGCTAGAAGAGAAGCAAGGAATAGCTTCTCCTCACAGCCTTCAGAGGGAGTCAGCCCAGCCATCACTTTAATCTCAGACTTCCAGCCTCCAGAGCTGTGCGACAATTAAACTTCTATTCTCTAAGCCACCCAGTTTGAGGTACTTTGTTACAGCAGCCCTATCAAACCCATGCAGAGGCCATATGCCCATATATATATTTTTTTCTACAATTAAAGCAGCTGAGTTCTTCCTGAGGGCTTCTATAGAATCCTTCTCCATTCATACATGGGATTCAAGTTGTCAGTCAACCCCATTACCCCAAAATATTTTTCTTGACTGTGTCATAATTTACTTTAAGACATGTTATAAACCCTTTAAAAGCAGACTCTAATCTTTCTTCATCTGTTTCATCCCCTCAATACATATTTTTCTTGAAAACATGTGACATGTAATAACAGCTAGCAAAATGAGAAAAGTAGAATGTTTTTATGCATTTTTTGTGTTTATTTTTTCATTAGACCAGAATCAGCAAATTAGAGACTGTGGATTTTGGTCTCTAATCCAAAATCCAGCCCATCAGCTGTTTTCGTAAATAATATGTTGTTGGAACACAGCCACACACCTTCATTTGTCTATTGTATAGGGCTCATTTCTTGCTGCAAATGCAAGTTGCGAAGTTGTGATACAATTGTATGGCTCACAGCCTAAAATATTTACTATTTGGTTCTTTAAGAAAACATTTGCTTGCTTGTTCCCATGTTAGGCAATTACATTTCAGTAGGTGAGTCTGGAAGAATGAGTGAGATAAAATGAGATCACAGACTTCTCTGGTCTTAGTGAAGAAATATTTGGACTAAAACTAACATCTTCTGAGAAAAACAAAGTGCTTGGGGCTTATAGAAGGATATTAGCAGAATCCAGTCTCACAGAATTAGATTTAGGCCGTTAATTGTTGCTGATTATATGCAGTGACACTCAAAAAGGAGAACACTGGGCTTCCTCAAGCCAATACCTAAAGTGCAGCAGTCATTTTAAGAACATTTATGATATATTTATTTAGTTATATGTCCTGGCGCGTGAAGGCTGCTGTCATTTTTTTCTGCTAATTATATTATGATAATAGTTTAGTTTTCTGTTGCTCTGTAACAGATTAGTGGCTTAAAACAGCACAAATTTATCTTACAATTCTGTGGGTCAAGCCAAACTAGGTGGAACACATCTGTAGTCCCAGCTACTTGGGAAGCTAAGGCGGGAAAATCACTTGAGCCAGGGCTTCAAGTCCAGCCTGAGCAGCATAGCAAGACCCTCTCCCTAAAAAATTTTTAAATTAAAAAGATTTTTTATTCAAACAATTTAGGAAAAGTAAATATAACATATTGAAGTATATCCTTTCATATTTTCCATTATTTTATATATAAAAAACTAACTCTCTCCTACTCATATATAGTCAATAATAAACATATAATATATATATCTATTATACATAATAGATATATATCTATTACATACATTATATATAATATATATTTATTATATATATAATACATAATAAATAGAATATATACATATACACATATATGAGTGGAGAGGGAGAGTTAGTTTTCTTAAAAATGAGATTACAGATGCTCCTAAAATTACCATGGGTTTACATCCCAATAAACACATCACAAATGGAAAATATCATAAGGTGAAAATGGATTTAATACACCTAACCTGTAGAACATCATATAGCCTAGCCTAGCCTACCTTATGCATGCTCAGACCACTTACGTTAGCCTACAATTGGGCAAAATCATCTAATATAAATTGTACTTTATGATAAAGTATTGAATATGTCATGTAATTTATTGACCTCTGTACTGAAAGTGAGAAAAAAATGGTTGTATGGATACTTAAAGTACAGTTTCTACTGAATCTATATCACTTTCTCACCACTGTAAATTCAAAAAAATCACAAGTTGAAGTATAGTAAGTCAGGGATCGTCTGTATACTGCACTTAGTATTTTGTAATTTCCTTTTTTATTTAATGAAAGTAAAGTAGACTTCACATATATGTATTTATATATATGTAAGTATTCTTTATACTTTATGTAGACATAATTGGGGAAACTTTTCCTATGTCCATAGATACTCAAATTTTTATCATTTTAATAGTTAACATTATAGAAATTATTATAATTTGTTTACTCAGACTTACTGATAAGCATTTCAATTACAGTTTTTCATTAATATTGACAATAAATATCTTTTTGGGGTGCTTTTGATAGTTTCCTTAGGAAAATTTCTGAACCGTAAGGATGAAGATTATGTGCACTTTTAAGACTTTTGTATTTATAGCAATTTACTGGAAATTGTTATGAAAAAATGTATACCCCCTCATTTATAGCAGTAGTGTCAGAGAGCTCATGTGCTTTGGTTGTTTCCCCAGACAAACAGTAGAACGTGTCACACTGCAGAACCAACTCCAACAATTTCTAGAAGCCCAGAAATCAGAGGGCAAGTCACTCCCTTCTTCACCCAGGTAATACCAGGCACATTGGTGTTTAGCGTTCTTAAGTATCTGAAATTGTTAAGCCTTCTTCTGAACTTCCTTTGATATATTTTAAGAGGATGATAACAGAAAATATTTTCTTCTTATAAAGAGGAATAAAAATGAGAAATCACAGTGAAAAAGGCATTGGACCTAGGGTCCGAAGACCTGGTCTGTTCTCTGATTCTGCTATTTCTTCATTCCATGACTATAAACAAGTCAAACACTCTTTTGTAAGAATTGAATCTTTCAATTCTTCATCTGTGAAATTGGAATAATATATATCACTTGATAAGTTTGTTGACAATGGAATTAACTGAGAAAATTTATGCAAAATTGATGTATAAACAGTAAAACAAATTTAGTAGTCATAGTAGTTACAGCCAAAGGCATAACGCACCTTATGACTGATACTATGGAGTATTTGCACATTGTTTTGAAAAGACGTGAAGTACTTATTTGCATTCTGTTCTTATTTACTTGTACATTGTTAGTGGCAGTAAAGGCCACCCAGTGACTTATGGCTGAGTCATTTCAACCCAGTAGGAAATCATCTCATGTCTCCTTCATCCTCTTTTTAGTTCACCATCCTCACCTGCCTCCAGAAAGTCCCAGTGGAAATCTCCAGATGCAGATGATGATTCTGTAGCCAAAAGCAAGCCAGGAGTCCAAGAGGGGATTCAGGTTCTTGGAAGCCTCTCAGCCTCTAGCCGGGCTAGACCCAAAGCAAAAGACGAAGATTCTGATAAAATCCTACGCCAGTTATTGGGAAAGGAAATCTCAGAGAATGTCTGCACCCAGGAAAAACTGTCCTTGGAATTCCAGGATGCTCAGGCTTCCTCTAGAAATTCTAAAAAGATCCCACTGGAGAAGAGGGAACTGAAGTTAGCCAGGCTGAGACAGCTGATGCAGAGGTCACTAAGTGAGTCTGACACAGACTCCAACAACTCCGAGGACCCCAAAAACACCCCAGTGAGGAAGGCTGACCGACCAAGGCCACAGCCCATTGTAGAAAGTGTAGAGAGTATGGACAGTACAGAAAGCCTGCACCTGATGATCAAGAAACATACCTTGGCATCAGGGGGACGCAGGTTTCCTTTTGGCATCAAGGCCTCCAAATCCCTGGATGGCCATAGCCCATCTCCCACCTCAGAGAGCAGTGAACCAGACTTGGAATCCCAGTATCCAGGCTCTGGGAGCACTCCTCCAAACCAGCCTTCTGGTGACCCTCCACAGCCCAGTCCTGACAGCACTGCTGCCCAGAAAGTTGCCACAAGTCCCAAGAGTGCCCTCAAGTCTCCATCTTCCAAGCGCAGGACATCTCAGAACTTGAAACTGAGAGTTACCTTTGAGGAGCCTGTGGTGCAGATGGAGCAGCCTAGCCTTGAACTGAATGGAGAAAAAGACAAAGACAAGGGCAGGACTCTCCAGCGGACCTCCACAAGTAACGAATCAGGGGATCAACTGAAAAGGCCTTTTGGAGCCTTTCGATCTATCATGGAGACACTAAGTGGCAACCAGAACAATAATAATAACTACCAGGCAGCCAACCAGCTGAAGACCTCTACATTGCCCTTGACCTCACTTGGGAGGAAGACAGCAGATGCCAAGGGAAACCCTGCCAGCTCTGCTAGCAAAGGAAAGAATAAGGCAGTAAGTGCTATTTGGAGAATATTATTTTTCTTTCTTTGAATTGCTTGTGTTGTTCCTAATACCACAGATTGTGGGCCCACACTTCCTTGAGGGAATTCCCAGAAAAATACCCAAAGGGATGCATGGAAAGCCAAATTCATGTGTCTAATGAGACATGTCATGTTAGATACATACCCCTTGCCCTTCTTTTGGAAAATAAGAGAGAAAGGTTAAAAAATCATAGGACCAGAGATTATATTCTGGTCCTTAAATTTCCCTAAATGGCATAATCTTTAGGTGTTAGGGGTCCTAGACTGGGAGGCATTTCTGGAAGATGAAACCACCAATCAGTGCAAGTTTAGTCTTACATGGGCACTGATTCTGTCCCAAGGAAGAGTTTGTTCTCTTCTTGTGATGGGATAGTTTATATTCAGGCCCAATTAAAAAGCATGTAAATGGAAACTCTATTTCTAAAGACTTAACAACACAACTTTGGGATGACCTTTGAAATGAATACACCACAGGGACCTCCATATAAGTGTTTTACAACACAGACCCCCTAAGTGTTGATTGGAGCCTATAGGAGCTCGAAGTGCTTTCCAGCCCACAGGGGATGGCAGAGTGTGCCATGAACTACATTTTATAATTGCCTTTATTGGAAACCCATGCACAGTAATTTGTGATTTACATGCAGTGGATAAGAGATATGAACATCTTTTTAGACAATGTTTCCTGCAAGCTTTGTGCTTGCCATGCCATTAAAAAATGGTACAGCTGCCAAAATGCAAAACTCTCTGTGGAATGGAATGACCTAGAGTGATTCACCATGTGATCCAGATAAACCACCCAGTGGAGCTGCAGAATCTTTGTAATTTATCATTAGCCATAATGTTAAAATCCCATTACAGTGAGGTCTAAGAATCGTCTGAATTCTTTTTGCAGTACCCAAATCAAGTTTTAGTGAGTATTTCTCTAATCAATTGAACACCAATTTTTAAATTATATATCAATTTCCTCTGTAAATTGTCCTTGTTATAGAAGACGTTATCCTGTACTTGTTTCAGCTGGAAAAGGCATATTTGTGCCCAAAGCGCCAGATCTTTTGGGATAAATGTGTCAAAACTTAGGTCACTCAAATAAAACTTTTCCAGGTAACTTACTAAGTTCTGCTGCTCAGTAGTAAAAGAATTATCTCAGTTGCCCATGCTCCTTAAAGTGCATACTAAGCCCCTGTCCTCTATCTTCCTGCATGCTTCACGTTTATTGGGACTTGTGCATGTGCTGAGCTTGTTGCATGTTTTCAGATGATTTTTAATTGCACCTCTCTAGGAAATGTACAGCAGCTGCATCAATCTTTCCTCTAACACGCTGATTGAAGAGCATTGGCGTAACTACGCACAGTACGTGGTGCTAGGAGATGTGTTATGCATTGCCATGCTTTGCTTTGAATTGCATGAGCTTTTAAATTGTGGACTTAGAGCACCTTTCAGCAAGGGATAACACCAAGGAAGAAGAAAATTGCAACTATTTTCCCAAGTAGAAGCAGCCACAGATGTAATGGTAACTAGGTCTTAGGTTGCTAGACAGCCCTCGGAGGGCTTTTTCTAGTGTCAGCCACAAGAATCTTCTCAGTTGGCAAAATTTTGCTGTATTTCCTAGTTGACTTTGGCTTTCAATCTTTGTTTTAATGGAGTCAAGTACCAAGAAAGTATTGAAATTAAATTTCCTGTCATGGTAGAAATCTCCAATCAGAATCGGAACTTTGAAACAGAGCTTGAATTTTATTTTAGTGCTGATTATAAACCAAAAACTCCTTTCATCACCATTCTGCTGATCTCAGGGGAAGCAAGGGCTTGCCTTTCTGAAATTTCTCTAGGTTAGCATTATGAACACAATTTCAGTCCATGAGCCAGGTTTATGAGTGCCCAGTAATGAAACAACAGTCTTTCTCAAATAAAATGTTTACAATTCAAAATGCATTGACTACATCACACAGAAAGGAGAGAATCAAGTCCCCAGGGACTGAGCCATACCCTTGGGCAAAGTCCTTCTGCAGCATAGCTTTCATCTTTCTGTGGGATGAAACCAGTGTGCCTTAATTGCTTTATTCCAAAACTGTTACATCTTTAAACCCATTTTAAAAGACTATCATGTGCTCGCTTCGGCAGCACATATACTAAAAAAAAAAAATTGGAACGATACAGAGAAGATTAGCATGGCCCCTGCACAAGGATGACACACAAATTCGTGAAACGTTCCAAATTAAAAAAAAAAAAAAGTGATAGTCTTTATTTTTTTTTGGAGACAGTTTTGCATCTGTCACCCAGGCTGGAGTGTGATGGCGTGATCTTGGCTTACTGCAACTTCTACTTCCTGGGTTCAAGCGATTCTTGTGCTTCAGCCTCCTGAGTAGCTGGGATCACAGGCCTGTGCCACCACATCTGTCTAATTTTTGTAATTTTAGTAGAATGCGGTTTTGCCATGTTGCCCAAGCTGGTCTCAAACTCCTGGCCTCAAATGATCCACCTGCCTCAGCCTTCTAAACTGCTGGGATTATAGGAACCACCACACCCAGTCATAAATATTTAAACTAATTGAAAAATTACGACATGCCATTCAGCACTCTTCCAGAATCCTCCAGTGAATGTATCTGGGTAGGTGGATGGGTGGATGGGTGGGGGTGGGGATGGCTGCATTTGTGTGTTGTCGGTGTGAATTTTAGCTGAGAATACTAAGTTCTAAGAAAATCACTCTTTTTTCCCCCCCTCTAAATCAAATTTAATCTGCTCTAGGTCTTTGTTCCGGCTGGAGGGAAATTAAATCTCAGTCATTTTAGGGGATCCCCCTAGGGGGCTCATTAATTCAGTGAGTTGAAGGACGAGTCTTGGAGCTTCAATATTTACTGGTCACCAGTGGTCTGCTTGGGTCAGGCTCACGTGTTGCCGGAAGCCAAGCATCTGAACTGCTTCCAGCCACACCAGGGCAGGGAATCTTGGCCAGTGCTGAGACCCCAGTGCCTGGGCTGGAAAAGGAATAGAAAAAGATCCTCATTCCCTTCCTTGACTTTGATATTAGCCCACTTCTATTTCATCTCTCCTTACCTTAGTTTCCCACCCCTATGCCCTTCTCTGTCCACATCTTGGGAGGAATGTGTTTTCTAGTGCCTGGAAAATTCTACTTTTGTCCTTAAACAGAAGTTACCAGCAACCCCCTGAGGCAAGAAAGCACAACGAGTTGGCAAACTCCTTGGGAAGGGGAAGAATACCTCTTATTTCTTCCAGGCTCCTACATCAACAGGGAGCAAGACAATTAGCATCACAGTAGATTCTCCTGCCAGAAATATTTCATTCTGTCTTTGTATAAGCAAGGGAACAAAGCTGAGACATATGCTATAATAGGATTACAAAAATCAGAGCGCAAAATGAGCTTATGGGGCTACTCAGTTATCTGACACTAGGTTAACACTTTCCCTTTCTAAGCCTAAGGAAAAGTCCTTCTAAAGGCTCAGTTTAGAACCTGTTAGATTCACTGGCTTTACTTATTAACAGAGTTTAACTTTAGCAATAAATATTTAGAAACTCCAGAATAATTCAAATGTACTTAAATAAACATCTTGACCCCTTCCCCTCATTATCCTGTAAATTAACCCATACTTTATCATGGCTGTAATTTGTCATGTGTTTCCATATGAACTGGGAAGCTTAGTTATTTCATGCTAGAAAGGAGAGGTTTCAGTCACTCGTAATCACATACAGAGAGAACTAAGCCGGTTCACTCCTTACATAAAGCAAGAATGGATCTCTCTGGCTGAAATAAAGATTCCTCTGATAAATTAAGACGAGAGTGAAAATGTGGGCCTGAAAAGTATCCAGACCTGCCTCAGTTTGCCTGTGGGACCCCACTGCAAGAAGGAGAGGAACTAAGTGTTCATCTCTCAGTGATGACTCCAAATCTTGGCCCCCAAATTTGCTTGACCACCAAATGGTTCCTCTGAGGTAGCAGGGATGCCCAGGGTGATACAACTTTGGAAACCAGTGGCAGTCATTGGGATGGAGTTGGGGCCAAATGTTATTGCCTCTGCATTGCCCTATCAGCATAACCCTGGGGGAAAGAGTGAGGCAATGGATCCCAGTTCCAGGAATACACTGGAATTCCATTTTAGTTCCTAAGAAATTGTTATTTTTTTCTGATAAAGGAAAAATAAGGACAATAAATGTAACATTTTAAAGAAAGTCTGCTCTGTGAAGGTTCTATTTGCTATTTATTTTTCTAAATTGGTCACAGCTTGATAGCAAAGAATCTAAATTTCTTTTCAATGCCCTTTAAAATTAGATTCAACTCTATTCCTTTGAGCAGCTTTCCCAGTGTGATTCAACTACAGGGGATCACTTGGTTTATAATAAGCAGATTTATCTTTACCTTACAAAGCACGAGTTGTTTTTAGGTTATTGTAATTCCAAGAAAATTGTTGCAATTACTTGTCTTAAAATGGCAGTGAAACATTCATTTCCCAGAGTTTAAGTCCATCTGCAATCCGCATAGAGTGAGCATTGATTCCAGTTACTGATAGGCAAAGGGCGTAACCCCGGTCCATTGCCACCAGTAACACACATTTTGACCACAGCGGCACAGTTGCCTGAGTGGTTAACATCAGGAAACCCCTAATCCTAGCACCAGCGTTAGCACGGACACCTTGAAAATCATAAAGCAATAAACACCATTAGTGTGGGTTTTACTGCCAAGGAATTAGCCAGACTGGGAATTGTGTATCAGGAGCCAAGAGCTGGTATGAAATATTTTGTGTAGTTCTTAAGGTTGCTCAGCAGCCACTTCAAAGAGACTGGTCTGTTTCGCCAGTAGTGAGATGATATCCACTATGGTAATGGTCATCCGCTGTGCCCATTAGAGGGTTAGAGTTTAGGGTATCATTTCCCCACCTCTAACACACACAAACACACATTTCTGTCCTTAGTGCCAGGACATCACACTAAACAGAAAAAGATGTGGAAGACATTGGGAAGTAAAGGTGAGGCTGTGGCTGAAAACCTGCTCCCAACCAGAGCATAGCCCGCTAAAAAGCATTTCCAGAATTATGATGCAGCCAGTGTAACAAGACCCTGATGCTGCTGAACAAATGTGTCCTTGCTATCATTTCAATATATATGATCAAATAACCATATTTTAATCTTGCCTTCATTTTTTGACCTTAAAGTGTTAACATATTTTAACCCATATGCTTGATTCTTGAAAGGATAATGATAAAATTACTCAACCACGTAGGTGTGTTACCAAACTAATATATGTTGAGTGCATCCTTCTAGAGACAGACAAATCTTACCAATGCAACAGTTCACAGAAGTTTATTAAAAGTGCTGTTATTGAAAAGGTATTTAGTAAAGTAGTTAGTGCCTAACACTACAGACATTTGAGTTTTTGCTCAGAAATTGTAGGTGTTTTGTTTTGTTTTATTTTGTTTTTAAGACAGAGTTTTACTCTGACACCCCAAACTGGAGTGCAGCAGCATGATCTTGGCGCACTGCAACCTCTGCCTCCTAGACTCAAGCGATTCTCCTGCCTCAGCCTCCTGAGTAGCTGGGGTTATAGGTGTGTGCCACCACACCTGGCTAATTTTTGTATATTTGGTAGAAATGGGGTTTCCATGTTGGCCAGGCTGGTCTTGAACTCCTGACCTCAGATGATCCACCTCAGCATCCCAAAGTGCTGGGATTACAGGTGTGAGCCACCACTTCTAGCGTATAGTTTCATGTTCTGAGCCCTGAACGGAAGTATAATTTCTGTTTTTGTTTCTAACTTACTGGCACCACGCTCCATGCCCAATAAGCAAAAGTTGAAAGACAACAGCCAGGTACCTGAAGTTAGGTGATTCCTTCTGCTCCAGACACTCCTAGAGCAGCGCTGACCCTTCCAACTCCCATAGTTCCCAGGTACTATGTGCTCTCCCCGCAATGTACCCCAGGTACTTCTTCCCCTAATGCTTCCCCAAGTGTTCTGTCTCTACTGCTTCCCACCCCCCACCACCACCAACTCCTTCTCACTCTCTCTCTTTCCCACCTCATCCTTCCTTAGGTGTTCTGTGTTCTCTGTACAACTCCTGTCCTGCTCACACCCACCTTAGCCTTGCCTAGAGTTTCAAAGTATTTTCAGAAAGAAAACCCTCATTTCATACTGTAACTTGGAGAAGAGGAGGAGGCTCTAAACTTGAACTATTTCTTTACATGAATTAAGTGACAGTTACTTCTTTCAAATGGGCCTGAGTTTGGGGTTTCCATTGACCATTGCACAGTAGAATTATGGGGAACTGTTGCTAATAAGGCAGAGTCTTGTGTATAAAGAAAAAATGTCCATGTTATGAGAAGCCAGAATGATCATGTCTTCCCAGTGTCTAAGCACAATTTAGCAAAGTCCTTCTAAGGGCTGGCAGAGTTCCCAAGACTGATGCACAAATGGAATGTCTTTTCATAAGCCCCTTACCCTGGGAAAAGGAGAAAGCAGATTGCAGCACAGGAAGACAGTGAAACAGTTTAGTTAGTATCAAAGTATGATGAGTTGAGACATTTAAAAAAGCAGGGAAGACCCTGTACTCTCTTAAATCACTGCCGCAGAGAGGTAGGAAATGAATGTATGGAACTTGTGAACACATGTGAACCAACAGTGGGGAGGTACCAGGAAGAGAACTAACTGCCTTGGATACCAAAATCTTCCCACCAGAACACTTGCTTTTAGCAAGCCACTCCTGATTTAAGGACTGTCAGAAAATCTAAGTACTCACTTCCCCACCCCCAAGCTCCTTTCCTTATTCCCCGAAGATCCATTTTTGAATTGTGTGCCCTCAAAGCAGATACACATTCTATTAATATCATATTTGCACCACGTTTGCCACCACTAGGGGCATCTTTGTACATTAAAAGAACAGAGCCTGTCTATAAACTCTCTTAAGGCTGGAGTTTTAAAGAAGCATTAGGTTGGTTGAGTTTAAAAATACCAAACAGAGACTTTAAGCAGCCACCTTCCAGTGCCTTCACCAAATATACCTCCTCCGCCAGTCACCAGTGCTCTTCATTCCCATGCTGAGGACAGTGTAGATGGACAATCTTCCTAACACCACATCCCTGGATGACCAGACCACTCTTTGCAACACCATTTTCAGCTCTAAGCCACACATTTTGCTCTTCCAGGGTAAGGCATGATTCCTTCACTCAGGGAGACTATAAGAGACTATAATCAAGAGAGAATTAAAATAGGATTCAAGTAAAACATGGCAAGTTCTGTGAAAGGCCTAAGAGCTTCATGAAAATAGTGACCCTCAATAGCAACCTTTGTACCCCACGTGTATTCCCTATGTCTCCTTTGGTGCCTGGTGCATAGTAGAGATTTCATAGAGATTTGGAAAGAGGTGAAGCTAGAGAGAGGAAAAGTGGAAGAAGAGAGAAATATATAAATAAAAAAAGGACTGGCCTGTCTTCCTACAGTGGGGAAAATGGTGTGTTCTATATCAACGTTGGCCTTCTGGTCACAGAACCACCTTCCCACAGTGAGTTTCAGTTTCAGGACTTCAAATACAAGTTTTCATACCTTGAACCAGAATCCCATTTCTTAATAAATGAGATTTATAGATGTGCTCTCCGTTAAACTCTGAGGGAGATCACAGAAAAGAGCAAGGTGTTCCTGTTTCGGTTATCAGTGGAAATGGAGTGCATGCCATGGACCATTCTACACTGATGCTGTAAGTTGCTGTCTGATCATCATGGACTGCGGAAATATGCAGTCCATGCCTAGATGAGTCAGCAAATTACATTACTTGAAAAACTGTTATTTAAATTTAAGCCTTTTTCTTTCCAATTTTGGTCACTCAGAATGCGATTTCATATCCAAAAATGAAATAGAGGAGCAGCAAATTATCTGGATAATTCATGCCAAAATTGCCCAAACACTTTTGTTCTTTGAATACTGTTAATTTGGGACTAGATAATTGAAGGGTTCAGGGAGGATTGAATTATCCTGATATTTTTCAGATAAATGCCTCAAGTTAATATTTTACTTGGTATAGATTCAGCTCTAATCATATGGGGTTTTGTCCTGCAGAAGCAGTGCTCATTTTAGTGTTTTTAACCACAGCACCTTTTATATTAAAGCAGAAATGCCCATGAAAGTCTAAACTATATTATCCTTAGACTGACAAAAACTTCTTTTAAATTTTTTATTTTAATTTATTGTTAAAGTGATATGGATGCTTATAAGAGTAATACTAGCATTATAGTAAAGACTAGATGTGCCCTGTGCCAAACCCACCCCCTTCCCTAGCCTCACTCTTTTGAATGAACCATGCGCTTTTTCTTCAGGTGTTTTCTCTAGTACTCTCTATGTCTAAGTAACATGCTCTTAGAGATTTTCAGTTTCAAATATTATCCCTGTAATCTACTGGCATTCTACTATAGAAAACAAAATGATAGCACTTATAAACACTTATAAAGCACTTACAGTATCCCAGAGAATATTTCAGGTACCCTATACATATTTACTATTTTAATCTTCACAATGATACTATGTGGCATATACTTTTTTGTTTTTAAGAGGCAGGATCTTTCTCGGTCACCCAGGCTGCAGCACAGTGGTGCGATCTTGTCTCACAGCATCCTCTAACTCCTGGACTCAAGAGGTCCTCCCTTTTCAGCTTCCTGAGCAGCTAGGACTACAAGCACGTGCCACCACACCCAGCCAAAAAGATACTATTATTATTCTCATTTTGCATATTGGAAACTGAGACATAGAATGATTACTTATCTTGCCCAACGTTACACAGTAGTGATGGCAATAAATTGTGGAGCCAGGATTTGAACTCAGTCAGTGTGGCTCCTAAATCCATATATTTAACAATGAGCCAAATGTGTCTTGCTCTGCTTTAGCATCCAACACCATGCCTGCTCTCTCTCTTCCTGTCTCTTTCTCTCTCTCTCCTCTCTGTCTCACACACACACCTACACACATGCCCACATCCCTACTTCCTCTTCCTCCCACCCCCATGAATATAGTTATATTGCCCTAAAGAGTTAAATCAGTATTCAGTGTTAATTATCATTGTGGTTATTTAAATATTAATCACAGCAAATCAATGTGTTGTCCTGTGTTAAATTTTCTCTCATACAATTTTATCTTTTTCATGGAAATAATTTCGATTTCTTAGTTTACAATGTATTTCTAAACACTCTGCTGAAGACCAAACCATCTTTTGGCAACTTCAGACAGCTCAGGTGCTTGCCAGTTTCTCTCTGTTCATGGAGACCCCTCCTCCTGCCCGCGTCTCCACTGCTGCCACCTGGCACTGCCACACAGCTGTCATCCCAGTGTCTCCCACGCACATCATCCTGGGAATTCCTTTTGCTTCTCTCCTGTTTAGACTGTTTCCTGAACCTCTTTTCTTTTTAGTTTTATTCTTGTGCTTCAGTCATATATCTTTCCACCCAAGGAAGGTAAATAGGTGCTAATTTTTTTGAGACCTTGCTAGTCTGAAAATATCTTCAATTTATGAGATTGAGTGTTTGGCTCAGTATAGGTGGGAATTATTTTCTTTCAGAATCTTGAACACATCATTTCATTTTCTTTTGCTTCTAATGGATCTGTTGAGAGGCCTCATTGTTCTCTGCTGATGCCTTGGAAGATTTTATGATTTCTTCTTTATCTCTGATATTTTAACTTTTTGATGCTTTGCCATGATGTGGTTCTGTTTTCATTCTTGGGCTGTGGGCACTCAGCAATCTTTTTCAATTTGAAACTCTCAGTACCTCAGTTCTGGGAAATGTTTTGTACAGTTTCTTCGAAAATTTTCTCTCCTCCAATTTCTCTGTTTCATCTTTTGAAAATCCTCTTATTCTAATATCAGACATACTAGACTGATTCTCAGATTTTTTTAATTACTCTTCCCTACTTATCCATACTTTAATTATTTTAGTTTGAATCTGTAGCGTATTTACTGAAATTTGCCTTTTAATTTTGCTACCGAATATTTTTATTTCTGCTATAATAATGTTAATTTACCGTATCACTTTACTGGTTTTCTCTTGGTTCCTTTTTTGTAACCTTTTTTTTTTTTTTTGAGGCAGAGAGTCTTGCTCTGTTGCTTAGGCTAGAGTGCAGTGACTCACTGCAACCTCCACCTCCCGGGTTCAAGTGATTCTCATGCCTCAGCCTCTGTAGCTGGGACTACAGGCATGCGCTACCACACCTGGCTAATTTTTTTTATTTTTAGTGAGATGGCGTTTCAACATGTTGGCCAGGCTTGTCTCAAACTGCTGACCCCAAGTGATCCATCTGCCTCGGCCTCCCAAAGTGCTGGGATTACAGGCATGAGCCACCCACACTCGGCTTTTATAGCATTTTGTGTATGTGCAAATTTTATTTAAATTTTGCAGTCAGATACAAATGTATATCTTTTCTTTTTTTTCTTTTTGAGATGTATTCTTGTTCCGTCACCAGGTTGGAGCGCAGTGGCGCAGTCTTGGCTCACTGCAACCTCCGCCTCCTGGGTTCAAATGATCCTTCCACCTCAGCCTCCCAAGTAGCTGGGACTACAGGTGAGTGCCACCACGCCTGGCTAATTTTTGTATTTTTGGTAGAGACAGGGTTTCCCTGTGTTGGCCAGGACGGTCTCGATCTCTTGACCTCATGATCCGCCTGCCTCAGCCTCCCAAAATGCTGGAATCACAGGCCTGAGCCACCAGGCCTGGCACAATTGTATATCTTTATCTTCCTTTTTACAATAAAGGTTTACTGTGCACACAGTTTTGTTTCTTCCTTTTTTCACCTTACATGTTGGAGGTCTTTATGTGTTAGTATATAGAGAGCTTCTTCATTCTTTAACATAGTTGCTATCATCTACACAGTGCTTCTAATTCCTGCATCTGGCAGTGCAAATCAGTTAGTTGGATTCCCTGACTGTAAGCTTGCGTTTTTGCATTTTCTGTTCTGAGAAATCAATTATAAATGTTCATCCACCTTTCTGTTTCAGAAGTACCATTGACATTTGTCTGTTGTATCCTCTCCCATTTCCCTTATTCATCTAAATTTATGCCTTTTTTATTTCTTTTATTTCGGTGTTGTTTTGCAGAATATGGACAACAGATGTGTGTATTCAATATATATGTTTAATTGGAATTTCTAGCTCATCTTTTTGCCAACTAGATTTTTCCTTCACCTTCTTCCCTTTTCCTGTCTTGCCCATGGACAGGTCTCTAAAGTTCCAGTTAGAGGAAAACTAAAAACAAGAATTACAACTTTCAGATGATGATGATGATCAAATATATTCTCGCACACTGAGAACAGGCTTCATGGTCTTTGCGAACAAGACAATTTTGAGACTATAGAGCCACTCTTAGGGTTCTGCTACATCCAAATGTGGTCCCATAACAGCTAGTATCATTACCAGAAAGTGTTTTTGTCTGGTATAGCAACAAGAAGTAATTGAGTAATATGCGGCCTTGTCCACCCTCAGAAGATAGCTCCTCTCTGAAGATTTTATACCCAAAATGGGACTAATACCTCATGAAAATGATTGCCCCTACCCAGGGGAAAATTTATTTGAAAAGCAAAGCTGTTCCATGGCTTGAGTTTGTACTCTTTTTCCACAGACTTACTAGGTATCAAGTATTAAGAGAAAGCAGCATATTGTTCTTTAGCTTTTTCATTTTCCCACAGATTTATCTACTTATGATCTTGCAACATGCTACTACTCAGTAATCACACACCCAAAGAGAAAGCATTCTTCTTTAAGGCTCAAGCTTATTGGGAAATGAAAGTGTCACCAGTGAATCTTTCTAAATAAAATATTTTGTTTATACTCAACCAACAGTACTATACTTCCTATCTTGTTTAATTCTGATAAAATTCCCTTGATTGTAAAATGCCTGTATTTCAATAAGTATGGCTGAGAAATTATTTCCATAGCTGAGTTAAAAAGTGTTTTGCAAGTGTGTGTTATTACATGACTATTGCTTTCATTGTTTAATGACTAGTTTATATGAAAAGAGAATAATTTGCTTATTGGAATGAAGTGTTCTTCAGTGTGGTTTGTGTGAGGATAATTTCCATTTTTGGTGAGCCGTTTGGTGGTACTGTCTTGTAACTTGACCATAGTTTTATCTAATTTTGGCCTGTGGTTTCTCTTCTGCTTAGGCATAATGACATCAATAGAAAAATGAAGAAATCCTGCAGCATAAAGCACATTGCTGAGCCAGAGTCAAAAGAACTCTTTTTGTAAATCACTTTTTTAATTCCCTCACTGATGACCTTTGGACACTATTGGAAATTTCTGGACTGTCCTCGATGGAAAGAGAACCATGAGAACAATGCCACACCAGCAGAAGAACAGAATATGCCTTAAATTTATAGTAGTAGACTATAAAAGATTCATTTTGGGGTGATATCTGTATATATAACTTGTTTTTTAAAGAGATGCTGTTTAAAAGCATGATTGGGAAAATATGTTTTTTTAAGATTAGATTGATTCATTCTAGCCACAGGACATTCACCAAGCCACTGATGCCATTTTGTATTTCATCAATTGCATGAGTATTTGCTAATATTCATTGAATGTCCTTTTCCCCACAACGTGGGCAGATTTGGCTCAGCGCCTTCATGAGATCAGGTCGGTGGTATTGTTTTCTGTCAAAAGTGTTTTTTCTGTCATTTCTACTTTTTGTATAAAGGAAATAAAACAATGTTAACAGCCACCTATAAGCTTGGGGCACCTACTTTCTAACAAATCTGTGATGTTCTGATTTCTAAGGGATATTGCAAGTATTTTGATTGCTGATATTTGATTTCAGGAACAAACTGCTCAGTTTAGCAGTTTTCCCATAGGGGTCAAATAAAACATTTTATATTTCATTAAGTACTAAAGGATCAGACAAGTATATAAAGTAAGTCAGTTCCTTCTGCCTTCTCAAATCTCAGTGTTGACATGGGAAAATACTAAGGAGAACTAAGGATCTAGCCCCTTCCTTGGGTCACTTTTTTCTTCCTCTGACACATTAGGAGACCTGTCTAATCCCTTTAGGAGACAGTGTGGAGCCCGAGTTCATAACAGCCCCATTGTTGATGCAGCACTTTCACTCCATGTAAGCAGTAATTTCCAGAAGGCTTCCTCCTATCATGTAAAAATATATTTCTGTTGAAACTTCAAGCGTTTTATTTTCAAAGTGTTGGCATGGCCTATAAGAGGCCTGTCAAGTTTTAGTTTAAAAGCAGAATGTATTCTTACCAGTAGGAGGGAATACTGTATGCTATTACAGTTGCTAGCAATGTTACTGCAGCCAAATCAGTCAAATGTGAACCATTCCTGTATCCTGATGCACAAAGCAGATAAAATTACTGAATTAAGAGGTAATCTTGCATATGTAGGTCATCTGAAAAACTTGGCCTCGATGAGATGCAATTAGGTATAGAAGGAGCTAATAATATCTGAGTGCCTTTTATGTACCAAACACTATTATATAGTGATATTACTACTTAAATTTTGTAGATTAGAAAACAAAAGTTTGGAATGTCTTAAGTCCTGTGTCCCAGGTTGCACTACTATAAATTGCATAACTAGGCTTTGGTACATATTTATTTGCCTATTATCCCCACTACACTAGTGATCCTACACTGTGCTGTCTCTGTAGTGGACTGACTGCTGGACTCGCACACAGGAAGCATGAGTTCCAGTGTCGGCTCTTCTTCTAACAATGCTTTGATCTCAGGCAAGGGACATTGCCCTGCCCAAGAAATCTGGAAAGGACAAGATGGGCCTCCATGCAAATCGAGGAGAATAAGTTTCCTTTCAAATTTACAGAGCAACACAGCTATGAATTTCAGTTCATGTGCTGTGTCCTTGTCTGGGTCCTGTGAGTTGCTACTGTTAGAGCCTGCTGCCATGTGTGAACCTTCATTTATCATATGGTCTTTTCCTCAAATGAGATGCCATTGCTCTGATTTATGGCTCCTTGGCCTTATCCTCCCACTTTGATTGCTTCCTCATATTTCACTACTTTGTCCTATTGCTTGAGATTCTAATAGAGAATTTATGGCAAGCACATGTGAAATGTAGACTCCTGTGTTTTCTTTCTGCTTGGTACAGAGGAGGTAATGGTGAGGTCACACAGCCAACCTTTGGGATTTGGCCAAAATGAAGCCTCAAAGAAAGAGGACCCAGTGAGTGCTCTTTCTGTCTCCCAGAGGTTCTAGTTTTGTTCTTAAAACTATGTTTTTAAATGTGAAAAGTGAAGGGGCTAGGCATTCTGCAGAGATTTCAGCCACATAGAGTTCCCAATTAAATATAGCAAAGAAAATTTCAAGACTTTGAAAGAAAGAGATATTACTTTGACTTAGCAAACACTGGCAATTCAGTTTTTCAGTGACACTAACATTTTAGCTTCCACACTATGAGTACAGAAGAGCAAAGAATAAAAAAAGGTAAAATTGGGAAGTTGAGCAGATTCAGATCAGCCAGACTGCAAGATAATGCGTTCTGTTTAATGATGTTGCTAGGACACTAAAAATAATGGCCCTTAAATTTTACATGTATCTATCTTGGCTGTCCACGTTCCTTATGAAATTGATACATTATGGTTACTTGAAATTAATACAAAGGATGTTTTCTTTACCACAGACTTAATTTTGTGCAGTGTTTTTTAGCGTTTATATTTTTCTAGAAGTTGAGACACATTAACATGTTAAAGAAAGTGAAAGTGTATTTCCTTTCAGTGAGCAGAGCTTTGAGGCCTCTGTCCCAACTGCAGCCCATTGGGCTAGTAAAATGAGTAGAACTCTATCTGCATGCTAATTACATGCAGCAGAGTAGGAAACTCAGCTCCATTGTAAAATACAATCACATCTGTCAGCGTCTTTTAAAGACGGGCTTCTTTAATGTCACCAAAGGGACTTGTATTGCCAAAGTTCAACACAGTAAATTAAGAATGTTTCTTAGAAAAATAACAAGATACCAAACTGTCACCACTTTCAGTGGATTGAATTCCCGTTATTTATTCTTGTAAAACAGTATCGAGACTTCAAACCAAATAAGAAAGTTCTAGACATGCATCACAGGGTTGCGAGTGGGATGAGGCTTTCAAAAGATATCTTCAAGTAAGACTTTGAGAATCATTTTTCTCAAAATGAATAATTATAAGCAAAATTATGGTAGATGCTAAAGGAAATAACTATAAATATTTAAATAACTCCCTGAAAGACTCCTTGATACAAACTAAATTAAATGTTTTTCTCTTCAGAAGCCACCTACATGCTTAATGTTGAATTCAGTTAATAGAGCTAAGTAAGCATAAGGAATTATTGCAACAGCGTTGGTACCATTGCCCCTCATAAAAAAACGGAGTTCATGCTGTCTACAGACCAAAACTCTCATTGCTCAATAGGTCTATTGTTAGTATGTCATGTTGTCTCAGTATTATTTCCCTTTATTCTTTATTCCGTTGTTTTATATAACTTTTCAAGCACTTGATTTCTGTCTCCTAATGAGACCATAAATTTGTTAATCTCAGCAGAATCTTGGTATCACCTCTCACAGATGGTGGTTAGTATCTACTAACAACTTACAGCTGTCTTTCTTTTCATTTCTTCCCTAGTCTTCTATTCTCTCCTCATCCTCCTTTTTGCTCTTTCTTCCTCCTTTCTTCTTTCCCTCACTCTCTCCCCTCCCTCTTTGCTGTCATCTTCCCTCCTTTTTTCTCTCTCTCTTCTCTGCCTTCTGTTTACAAGATCACTAAATCTTATATATATAGGATCTTCCTTGGAAGAAACCTGGCAAAGGAATTGCAGTAAGTAGACATGCGCTGGACCAGGTTTACAATGAAAAGCAAGTTGCTTCTCCCTTCTTGCCAGAGCATGTGAGTGGAACAAGCATCCCATAGGCTGATATACTCAACACACTGTGAGTGAACCCATGCCAAAAAATGAAGCCCTGTGCTAAACATTTCATCTGAATAAAAAAACCTGGAAGTTAGTATTAGCCATAAGAGCAACAAATTGTGCATTTGGAGAGACTTGTGGAAGAAAAGAAAACTTTTCCAACCGGTTTATAGCAGTGATTCCCAAATTTTGCTGTACATTATACTACCTACGGGAACTTTTAAATATTGGATGCCCAAGCTAAACGCTCAACAAGTAAATTCCCTTTCTGTGGTGGAATCCAGGCATCAGTATTTGTAAGGAAGAAGATGAAGAAGAAGAAAAAATGAGGAGGAGGAGTAAAGAAGGAAGAAGAAGAAAAAATACTAGGACTTCCGTATGCAACCACATTTAAGTTAACAAATAATTATTGGACATATTCATAGGGTTCATGGTGATGTCTGGAAACATATCATGTACAAGAGATCAGGTCATAGTACTTAGTATATCTATCACCTCAAATAGTTATCACTTCTTTGTGCAACCAAGTTTTAAAACCAGCGCCTTGCTACCTCAAAATGTCAAAACCCATCAGCATTGACAGCAGCTGGGAGCACGTTAGAAATGCAGAATCTTCCGGCATTCACTGTGGCTTCCACTTTTAATTTTGTGATGGTGTGAACTGCCTATTGAGAAAATACTTGAGAAGAATGGGAAAAAAAGACCCTGTCCTCAAAGAGAAAGGAAGAGCAGCATACCCCTAAACCTGGGGTAGAGTGTGGAGAACCTATTTTGTGTTTTAAGGGAGTGGGGGTAATATGCATACAATTTGAAAATAATGTTCCATGTTATAAATCACATGTAGGAAATTTTTTGTAAATCCTATAATTACAGAAAGTGAAGCTTCTTTTCTGGAGGGGAGAGGTAGAAGACAACAATAATTTTTCAACCCAGGATAGGGTCATTACACTTTTATGTTTAATCATAATGTAGCTAGGTTTTCACTTGTTATGAAATATTTCTCTAAATTTTCTAAAATCATGTTTATAGAAGTCAAATCACCAGAAAACTATTCATTATGCAATAGCATAACCAAGACAAAGCACACTCAAAGAAGACCAAAGCCCACCTGTCAATACTGTTTCCCAGCTGCTATTGGAGGGCTATTAATGATAAGCCAGCAAGACATACGATATTTTATTACCTCATTGCTTAGGACACTGTTATATGTCAACTATATTATTTTGTACACAACACACGCACGCACACACACGCACATATTGAATGCCTACCATGTTTACAGCTCTGTCCCAAGTGGTGGAAGTAAATTAGCAATAAATTGATAAGAAGTATTTTTGATGAAATGTGGAATGTCTTAATTAAACAGAATAAATCTGAGAAGTACAGTGTTCTGTTGTGATATTATACTCATATATATATTTTATAACTGTATAATTTTCCCGTGGAATTTGTTGTTGCTGTTGTTCAGCCAATTAGGAACAATGGTGGAAGAATTTAGATTCTATTATGGTGAAAGAAAATGCTAGTTATCTCCTCAATATCCTTTCTCCCTTTCTTTCTGATTAAGAGAACACAGTTAAATGTTCCCAGGTAAAATTACCTTCTCAGATGCCCTTGAAACTGGGAATGGCCATGTGACTCAGTCTGGCCAATGAGAGGGAAGTGGAATTCATAGAGTGGAGCTTTAGAAAATCTTGTAGTGGGCAAAGCTTACCTGGCACTCATCTTTTGCCCTTGAGGTACAGTACTACTTCTTTAGCTGTAGGGACAAAAGTCAGATTCTTTAAAAAAAGAAAAAAAGAAAGAGAAGGAACTGAGTTCCTTG